AATACCCGTCTGAAACTGACGTGTATAAACTTATACAGAGCTCGCAGAACTCCCGGCTACATTGCAGAGCTCTATTGCGGCAACGCAACTGCAATGTAGCTGCGAGCTTCCTGCGCTGCACGGGAATAGTGTACTTAATTAAATTGATAATCAATTTAATAATAACGCTAGGTAAACATTCTTTAAAAATTAACAATAAAGAAATCGAGGAAAAAAGAGAGGAGGCTCCCCCGCCTTCGGTGTATCTGGCCGCTTTTGCGGAAGCGATAATGGCAGCCTCGCAGCGATTCATTCGTTCTATCGGTCAACTGTTTCATAGATCCGAAACGAGCGCGTCATACAGTCATCGGAGACATACACAGAAGGCAGCTGTTGTACATTCAGCACGACTAAGGACTCTTTAATCTCGTTTCGTTTAAACGCTAAACATGCACATGTTTAGGTCAAGGCCAGCATTGGATATGATAATCGATAGAAGTAAAGGGGTGGTGCATATCGCGCTGACAGTTGCACAAGTAACGTTTTCAAGGTTATCCAATATAAGTCACACGGCTGCGTCGTTTCTTTCCGAGATCTGCTTCTGTTTTTCTTTTTTTCTTTTTTACGCTGCGGATCCCCGGCGAGATAAGTCCCGTGGTGAAGATTCGAGTTACGCGCCGCTCAATGCGAGAGATCTATGGCGACAACAAATTATTCCGCCACGACTGGCTAACATTTTTAATTCTTGTTAATATTAATAACAATCTGCGTCTGTCAATGTATAATACAAAAAGTGAAATATAGATTTAAAAAAGGGAAAGGTAAAAAATTGTCCTGTAAAAACGTATAACGCGTAAAATTTTATATACGGTGTCCATGTATGGTAAATTTCCCTTCTCTTGTATAATATCTGTTTGTGCACACAAGAAAAGTACTGGTGAGAGGAATTGAAAAATAATTACGTGCATAATCTATTGTGCATTGCTTCTTTTATAAAAGGAGAAGTTTGAGAAAATGAGAAAAATTTGCCCACATATAATCGGATATAAATAAAATTATGAAATGTTGTATAATCTATATCAGTATATTTTTTGTAAGAAAAGCAATTCGCAAGATATTTTTTAATTATTTTTTTCTATATATACAAATAGAGATACAAAGGAAAGAAAACATACGTGGGCAACATTTTATGTACTCATATATTTATGTGTAGTTTTATATGGAAAATTACGGGAAAGTTTAAAATGTAAATTAATTGTTTCATTAAAACTTTGCAGACAATTCGAAAGATCGAAACTAGCATCCTTTCATTGTATTACAACAGTTGTATTACAACTTTGTGCCGTGTGGTAAAATTCAATTTTATGATTAAATTTACAACGTGATAAAGAAAACTATTATACATTGAAATGAGGTTTACGTGATTTATTGTTTCAACTAGGCGAGCGCGATTAAAAAGCAGACGATGGAAGCTCAGTTTCTCAAAACTTTCGTAATTTTATCTAGTACAAGAAGCACACGAAGTCTTTAAAAACCGCCGTCCGGCCGTCGGCTGTGGAATTTCTCGTGGAAGCCGCCGTACGAATTTCTACCGGGCACCGTGTCGTGAAGAAATTCGCCCCCGGCTGCTGTAAATGTAGTCCCCTCTACGTAATATGCGATTGCTCGTCGGGACATTGACCAGTATTCGACTTTCTCGACGCTGTAGTCGAAAAATGTAACGTGAACGAACTTTCGTGAGGCCCACATCGGAGATACAGCCTCGTCCAACGTCGGTGACTGTAAACAGTTACCGTGGGATGATTCAATCGCATGAATGTTACGTTATATTTGCCGCTAATCTCAATCATTTTATGATAAACGCTATCTTCTCCATCGTATATAAGAATTACGTCGAGAAGATATATCTTCGATCGCTGATAAGAGGGCAATGTTCATCGACCTATCCTTCGTCACCTTCATGCATCCGCGACCGATTCAAGTACGTCTCACCTGTGGCACTCTTTTTGCGAGCGTAAAGTCTTTTTGCGACGATAAAATTAAAAGAGGCTTCGTAAACAAGTTCAATTACCCCGAATGTCGTAAGTCATATCGAAAAGATATAAATCGACTTCAATTGGTGATAAGAGGACATTGTACGTCTAACTGTCCGTCACCTTCGCGCACCGCGACCGTTTCAAGTGCCGTGATTGTTTTTGCAAATGTCAAATCTTTTTGCAACGATAAAAATAATTGAGATTTCGTAAACAAGTTCAATTACCTCGAGAAAGGAAAGAATACGAATATTCTGATTTTAAAAAATGCCGTTATGTAAGCGCTTCAAAATAATATTAACTTATAATTCACGGATTCTAGAGATATTTTCGCGTTTACGATTGATAACTTTGCGAATGTATTTTTACATACAAATTAAAAATACATGACAAAAATCTCTTCCATCATCTTTCTTAAAATATACGTAGAATTATTGAGATCTACTGTACATAAAAATATTTGTATTCTTTCCCAAAACATTGCGACAGTATTTATAATATTAATTGTTCGAAGTATTCCTCTGCATATTTGGAAATTTGAAGGGGAAATGGCAAACTGGAGGTCCGGGATGAAACGGACGCTACATAAATTTTACGAATGTATTTTCACGTATAAATTCAAAAAACACGATACAAATCTCTTCCATCCTTTCCTGCATTAAAATGCGATCTTCTTCCTAACAATTATTAAATTTTCAATCGATAATCCGATAATAACACACTGCTTAAATATTTAATCTATAAATATATAAGCTATGTATTCTAACGCGCACGCTATATATAATGTTAAAGAATTTACATTGTCGCTCGCGGTTCACGGTTCCGGCGGTATTTACAAATTTCGGATCCCGATTGTTCACATTATCCATTACATCGTTCCATTCGTGAAGGAATGTCTAGCCAGTATATATAAGTTGCAAAGTGTTACAAAAATTGAGATAGAGTATCAATACCAGTGATACAATTAAATCTGTTCTACCCCATGAGGTAGGGAAAAAAATCTACAAAATGTGGAGAGCTATCCCATAAAAAAAGTCCATACCATAAAATAAAAGTTTAAAAAAGGGACGCAATACCATTAAGCCAGTAATGTTAGTTTTGCTGAAAAGAAATGATTAGAACCATCGTTATTACCATCCTATCTTAGGAAAGAAGTTCTCCGCGACGTCCTGAAACACCTTCTCCGGCGTTTCCATAGAATTAACCTTATAAATTAAGCCCTGCCGCTCGTACATTTCTATTATCGGTAAGGTGTTTTCCAGATAAGTCTGATGACGAAAGACCAAGGACTCTTCATTGTCGTCGCTGCGGCCGCTTCCGCTGGCACCGCGATTCAGGCAACGCCGAGAGCACACCTCCTGGCTGCATTCGCAGAATATTACGCCCTTCAGGATGACTTTGTCCGACATCACCTGCCATCAACATAAGCAACATGAAATAAGTATAACGCGCACAAGGTTCTGTGTCAATTAATTATACCGTTTAATAAAGAAAAACTTGACAGGAACGAAGACAATCGTTTTCCATAGGTTTCTAGAAACGCTGAATGCAAGCCTCTTGCTCGGTCACGTTTTACGGATTTTGATGTGAAATTTACAGTTCAAGTTGCAAAAAGGATTAACTGTAGCATAATATATTTGGAATATTATGACTACCTAAAAGAATTTTCTAAGTTCATAATATAATTCACAAATATTTAGCACAAATATTTCTTAAGAGGACCACACAGTCATCGGCGAACTGAATGGCTGAAGGATCCTCTTAATGGTACATGCAAGTCGCAATCTTGACGTAATTACAATTTTTTTTTATTCCACTCAACGTAGCAAATTCGTTTTAAGGGCTAAGAGTACTAACATATTTCATTTTGATCACAATAAAACTTCTCTACGTCACATTGTACAGTTACAATGTCCAAACTAACTCTTTTTTGCAACTTTAAACATAAACTTTTCAAAATTGGGACATTATTGAGTAATTTTGTAAGTGAGATTGTGTTTAGCGCTCAAGAAAACTATGGGAAATGATTGTCCTCGTTTCTTGCGCTCAAAGTTCCTTTTTGGTCGAACAACGGTATCGGAGAAGCGTATACTATCTTAAATTATACAGTAACACAGTTATCTACATTTCTACATATATGTATATGTATACATTCTTAAACTACCAACTCTATTTTACCGCTTATCCAAAGTCTCAGGTCCGGTCTAGAATGAGTTGTTAGTCAGAAATATATGTCGATTCTGTTTCTTTCGCCCAGAAAGAAAAAGGATCGACATACAGTTGCGACTTCTGACCAGCGACTAACAACTCATTGTAGACCGGGCCTTAGGCGACAGAGCTGCAAAATTAGGCCAGCAAACGGTATCGCGATAACTAAAAGAACCAGGTGTTTCAAACACAAGCTTTATATACTTGGATACCTTAATGCTGACATATTTGTCTGTTACCATCTGACAAATATCTATTACATTTAAAAAAATAAGATAAGATAAGATAAAGTAATGCCCACTAGGCATTAGCGGGCATTGGTGTACAAGATGTTGGTCAGCAGTTTCCCCCCTCGACGAAAACCATCAATCCGTATTCTAGTTGTAGACAAATTTTGACAATTTAACAAACAAAACTCACAAGGCTCCGATGTGAAATCACAAATACGAAGCAATAAAGGGCACAAGAGCCAGGGCAGGATTTTAATTTTTAAATTTATTGCAAAAAATGAAAAGTGAAAATCACTTAGACACACCAACATCCTGTATTTGTGATTGATTAATTTGTGGCGTTCCGAGGTTCAACGCCACGTAAATATTCCAGAAATGACAAACATATCCGGGGATAAGGCGAGGGGATAATTGGCTGAACGAGATACCCGGTTCCAGCCGTCGAGGTTATCCTGATTCCTGGGAAAGCCGTCGATGAGGAAGCGGCAGTGCGGGTTCTTGGACGTCTGCATGGAGCGGTCGATGAGGCTGCAGGTGATCTCCACGGGGACGATGGTGCCGCTCCGGATGTGCGTCTCGATGAGCTCGCCATACTCCGAGCCCGGCTTGGCGCGTTCCTCGCGCAGCAGGTCGCCGGCTGACAGGTGGGCATAACCGTAACGCTCGACGATGTAGCGGCAGAGCGTGCCCTTGCCGGCGCCCGGGCCGCCCAGGATGAACACCACCTCCGGCTTCTGCGTCGTGGCAGCGGACATCGTGCGAATACAACGTCGCGCGCCGGCCGCGAGAGCCCGTAACATGTACGGAGGATGCCACTTATACACGCAAAAACGTCGATCAATCCGACTCTTTCGCACATGCGGCGGCTGACCAGTGGCGCCATTTTTAAAAGATCCACGTGGGTCGGGAATACAAAAAGCGCGTGGCCCGCCGAATCGATCGATCGAAACCTGGCCGCTTTTACGCGGCGTCTAGTCTTGAAAAATCAATCGATGAATTATCACTGAAAACAGCGAATGGTCACTGATCTACAGCCGCAAGTATACCACTGAGATTTTTAGTAGTGTACCTGTAACTGCAAATCAGTGACTATTTTCAGTGATAACCCACTGATTTGACTTTTAGAGAGTACAATGGGACCTGTAAGACTGTGGTCGAGCTGTCGCTTTAAATATTTCCAAGTCTTCTTTTTTCCCCCCCCCTTTCTTTCAGAAAAAATAGAAGGAGAAGAGAAACTCCTCGAAGCGTTTGTAGCGACGACCTGACCGCAGCCTAAGAAAAAGAGCAATCGCAGTCGATTATTCTCCTCACATTTGGTTGCGACAGGTCATTGTAGACGCCGCAGAAGCCTGATATTACATTTGTCTTACGACAAATTTTTTAAGTGTGTCGATTGGCTGCAGGATAGTAAAATTCTTGGGTATCTAACAATTTTCTATTCAGCAGCCAATCGACACGCTTAAAAAAACTTGTCGTACGACAAATGTAATATTAGGCTTAGGGCCTGAGCAGAATGGTTGTTTCGTACAAGACAATGTTTCATGTTTTAAATCTTTGTCTTAAATTAACGCACAATGACTGTCTTGTGTCCTAAGAATACAAGACATTTTGCTCAGGTCCTATGGCTGGTGTTACATTTGTCGTACGACAAATTTTTTAAGTGCGTTGATTGGCTACAGGATAGTAAAATTCTCGAGTATCTAGTAATGTTCTATTCAGCAGCCAATCGACGATTTATGGCTGATTTTTTTCACTTCCCGATAAAATTATCCGGAGGTTAATCTCAAGTTTTAGCCAATCACGTGCATGGATCTGGGGCTCGATTCTTGAATTCATTCGAAGAAGAAACGTATACGAAAATTCTGCTCTGACAGAAAAGTTGAAACTCGATTGGTTAAAGCCATTCGAATAGCCAATCAACTTGCAACTTTTCTGTAAGAGCAGAATTTTCGTATACGTTTCTCCTTCGAATAAATTCAAGAATCGAGCCCCTGGTAGTTTATCTCCTGTTTAACCGCAACATAACTGGATGTGAGGAAATCGGGCATTAATCGACGATTAACTAAAGCCAACGGCACACGATACTAATTTGCCTACTGGATTGTTCACGGGAGCCAATCAGGTTGCAGCTTTCAGTCACCTGATCTGAAACTCTGCATCCTTATTGGTTCTGGTAAGCAATCCAGTAGGAAAATTAGTATCGTGTGCCGTTGGCTTTAGCTGCCACGTGTAGTTTTCAGCTACGGCGATATATCTTCTAGCCTTAACAATGAACGGATAGTCCGCTGTACATTGGGACTCACTTTTGTTTTACTACACACGACTATACATTTTTCTTTCCGAGCAGGAGCATTTCGTGCAGTCTCGGAGCACGCGCCTGCCGAGCTCGGTCACGTGACCGATTACATCTCTCACGCATGTGTACCCGGTGCGTATTTATTTCGGGATCTGCCCCATCAGTGCCCATCACTGGCAACGTGAGATTAGGCTCGAAGTTCAAGATTTATCGAAAACGATGATAAACGCAATAACGATAACCTAATGACAAGTAGTTATGTGGTACCGAGAACATAGGTCTGTTTTTAGAATCGCAGTGCGAAATTGTATCTTTAAAGTTTGGTTAGGAGCGTGTGTTAACCTCTACGTCGTATGGCTCTCAGTAGCGTCTTATTTCGAATAATGAAAAGTAAAGTACATATACGCTTTACAAGCTCTTGCGCCCCTGCATCTCGCCGATAACGGTTCACGTTAATTGCCAAGTCGATCAATTTGAAGTTCACCGTGCAGAGAGTTTAATCTTTCGATAGATTCACTTTGTTTCGTTCTGAAACGATGAACGTTCGTCTGATGACGAATAATCTTTCTCGCGCAGACTAAATTCTATACTTGTTATTTCCCTGACATTCGCGTTCGTCGCATTAAGCAAACCTCAACCTCTGCACTGCAGAGATAAGTAATAGTTGGTTTGACAACGGTACTGTTGACACAATGGCTACGTTCAGCAGAAAAAGCTGCTTTGCAACTATTGTAAAATGCATGAATCTAATGGCGTATGCACTTAAGTTCACTCAAGAGTAAGAGACCACGCCAATCAGATTCACGAATTTTACAACAGTTGCAAAGCAGCTTTCTCTGCTGAACGCAGCCATTAATAAATAAGAATCTATCTGCTATTTACTGGCTATATTGTTACAGGTAAGGTATTTAAACATGACAATTGTGAGAAGATGCCGCCGGTTCACTGGGGCTTTCAGTCTGCTGTCACATAACACGTATTCCAGTCCCAAGCTGGCAAACCGCATGGCTGTGAATTTTGAACCGTGTACAATGGTTCATACTTGGTCCTCGTTGTGTTCAGCGCGTAATAAGTACAAGTACGAAGCGAGTCCCAATATACAGCGGACTAGCTGCTCATTGTTAAGGCTAGAAGATACATCGACTCGCGTCAATTTGATAGATTCGCAGCAGAGGAGATGCCTGAGCATCGCCACAAAGCTAGTCAATAATGCCTCGCCAAAAGTACAGCCATATATGAAACTTATGAGGATAGATAAGCCGATAGGTGAGACATCCGATTGTCAGTTATCTGTTGTACCGCACGGAGAGAATTTGCTCGTAAAATTTACCCCGAAAGCCACGCAGGGCCAGTTTCACCAAACGTCGGTTAACTACTAACCGAAGGTTAATTGATTCTCTGTCTCTTCTTGGAGAACACGATAGAAAAAGATAGGGAGTCGACTGAACTGATAATCGACCGTTAACTGATAACCGACGTTAGTGAAACTGGCCCGTAATCGTGGGACAACGTGGCATTTCGAAGAACTGTACAAGAGTTTTTTTTATTCTGCCAGTAAAATGTATACCAAGTATAATTACTTGAATTTATCCTGAAAATCGTGTAATCATTGGACAGCATGGCATTTCGAGGCATTTTACGAGTTTTTTGAAATTTTTACCGCACATTTTACTAGTAGAATGTACGGTAAAATTTCACAGAAACTCGTAAAATTGTTCAAAATTTCACGAGTTGTCCGACGGTTAGATAATTTTCAGGATAAATTTTAAGATAAAACTCCCGTGTCGGATTCATGAATACGCCTTGCGTATATGTGAATTTATCTTTATAATCTTTTTTTTCCTCCGTCAGGAAGCTGGTTGCTGTTCTGGCCTTGCGGGTGGAGTATCGCCTTGGCGGCTCCCGCCAGTGCCTTACCAGATTTCTACATGCTGGCGCTTTTCGGCACGGGCGCGTTTATCATGCGCGGCGCGGGATGCACCATAAATGACATGTGGGATCAGGACATTGACAAAATGGTAAGATGCACCAACACCCCCTCGTCCCCTTGGACGTCGCGGCTAACGTAGCTCATTGTCTTAGGTTACCAGAACGAAGGAGAGACCTTTGGTAACCGGTGAAATAACTTCGAAACAATCGTTAATGTTTCTGGCCGGGCAATTGAGCTTGGGACTGCTTGTATTGCTGCAACTGAATTGGTACAGCGTATTTCTCGGTGCCAGCTCGCTAGGTACTGTGTAACGCAGCGACGTAACTGTGCGTTTAAATGAATCTAAAGCACTTTTCCTTTTTTTGCTAGGTCTAGTAATAATTTATCCGCTAATGAAAAGAATAACGTACTGGCCGCAATTAATTCTGGGAATGACTTTTAATTGGGGCGCCTTACTGGGATGGTCAGCTGTACAGGGATCGTGCGACTGGTCTATCTGCTTGCCTCTCTATGTAGCCGGTATTTGTTGGACTATTCTGTATGATACAATATATGCTCATCAAGTAAGTGATAGTATGATGACTTTTCGCATTTCTCATATCGCTCACGATTCGCTTTCTCTGCGCTAGGACCGAGTCGATGACATTCTGCTGGGTATGAAGTCGACCGCTATAAAATTCGGGGAGGACACGAAATTCTACTTGTCCGGTTTTGGAATAGTAATGATTGCGAGTTTAATCGCATCCGGTGTATTAGCTACCCAGACTTGGCCTTACTACACCACTGTTGGATTAATTGCAACGCATATTAGCAACCAGGTAAAAAATGTTTTACACGTTTAAAATTGCACCCGAATAAAGTAATTTCTTCCTTTCAGATATACACTTTGAACGTTAACGATCCTACGGATTGCGGCAATAAGTTCAGATCCAATCACAAGGTAGGCATGCTATTGTTCCTTGGAATTGTATTAGGAAACTTGATGAAAAAGCCGATCGCGGAAAACAAGAACGGAACCAAAAATACGAAGCCTGAAATTGTCGTACTGTGATGTAGATGAAATAAAAAGTAAGCGCGATTTATGAATTTAATACAATTTTAAATTACGTAAAATAAAAGAATAGAAAAATTACATTGGCAAATATTCCTTTAATTCACAGGCAATGTTATAATTTTCAAATATTTTGGATTAATTTCATAGATAGAAATTCTTTGATCTGAATTGATACAAATTGACTATATTTTTGTATAAATTTCATATCTCTTAGTATTATCGCCTATAGTATTGTAGTCAAACCGCTATACACGATTAAACAATCGTGTGTACCTTTCACTCATACCTCAAGTGTACCTCCTATGAGATAGAAAAGAATGGTTGTCAAGGTCCGAACAGAATTGACATCAGACAATAGAGATCTTATTGGTGATTGATTGTGATAGTAGATACTTTTCATTATATTAAAATAATGAAATCCCTGTTGTATTATACTGTGACAACGCAATGATTGTATTGTATTCTCACAATTAATAAAATGTAAATAAATCAAACGACACGGAGAGAAAACTGTAGCCACGGCAGCCAGAACTGCATGTGGCAACTAAATGTCAGTTGTAAAATATGGACAGCTAATATTTCGTTGTAATAGCTCAATATTTTGCTACTATTCCTATTGTATTAGACAGCAAACCGTTTGCCTGTGGTTCAAAAATTTATAGTCGTGGCAGCAAAGTATTTTTAGCAGACCACGATTAGCTACGGTGGTAACACTTTTTTTTGTCAATGAAGAAAAGACACGGGACATGGATAAGAAAATCAAACAAATTTATTTGTCTATTGCCTGAATTGTTTCAAATCTAATATTTGCTATCTAGTTCCTTACAAATTATTGCTGTTACACAATTCTTGACAAAATTGTCTCAGCAACTGTAAGCTCTAGATTAAACTTTCCTTTTCCCATACGTCACTTCTCTTCCCTTTCTTTGATAAGCTCGACATACTCGTCGCGAGTCAACAGAGACCGCTTTAAGCTATCCAGCAGTTTTATATTCGGCAATATTATAGCCAGGTATCCACCTTTATGCGGCGGTTCCCTGAGAAGTTGCGGGTCCTCCGACAACGCCTCGTTGACTTCCACTAACTTTCCTATCATACAGCACTTGATGACGTACTTTTGCCCGTCCAAGCAAGATATAGTGCAGACATTCGAGTTGGTCTGCAGCGGTTGCGCGCCGTGCTTCCCCTTCCCTGAGACTTTGTTTAACAACCTGTCCAGCTTGTCGCTCACCTTAAAGTCCACCTTCTCTATACCTTTGTCGTCTTGCAAGATCACATGACTGGGCGCCAAGGACAGCATACAGATACGATTACTGTGAATCCACACGCACATATCGTCCCCGGGCGATTGCACGTCTACTTTGTAATACGGAGTAAAATAGCGATCCGTAATGGTAGGAAAGTAACCGCTGTATTGTACCTCGTCCAGCATGTCGGAGATGTCCTCGTCGGGAGGCAACGTAAACGACTCGTCGTCGTCGCCGTCAACCATCGCCGACGCCTCGTTGTCGCTGTCCCCTAATCTCTCCTCCTCCTCCTGCTCCTGTCGAAGAGAGACCTCTGCCGCATCGGGAGTATCCTCGGCCAGACTTCCCTGCGAGTCGCCTGCCGCCTCTCGATCGCAGGATCTACCTTTACAATCATCTTCCGATTTCAGTCGTTTGGCTCTCGGCCCGTCGACCTCCGATATCAGATTCATGCCCGGTTCTAGAATTGGCGTGTGCGTGCAACTGGAATGGGATCCTAATAATCCACAATTGTCAACGAGTGACACGCGACGGTGCAAAAATAGATTCCGACAGTCTTTGGGTGGTCGAATTGCCAGGCGAACTATTCACGCGCGACGATCAGCTGCTGCTTCCTGGCTGCGGCGGCTGTACCGTTGCTAACCTCTTACTTCGGAACTGCGAACTTTCCGCCCTGCGAATCTCTCTCTGCGACAAACGTTGGAATCAGTCAATTAATTCGGGCAATTAATCCGCGCCGGAGGTGACTCACCTGTTCCTTTATGCACTTGTTCATCTCCCGCTGGATGTGCTCGCAGTAGCCCAGAAACCTCCGGTACGGATGCTGCAAGCACAGAATCGTTGAGAAAGCGCACGCGGGCGAAACGGGCGGCGTTACCTCATTCTCGCACTCCTGAAATCGGCGAAATATGTCGTTACAGGCGGCATTGTGCGCGGCCAGCGATCTATAACTCATATCTCCGTCACGGCGAGGCCCCCGGCGAAATTACCCGCGTTTCTCATTACGCAATCGCGCGACGGATTCACCTGCCGCCTCGCAGTCGCATTGGGAGCTTTCAAGCTTTGCGATGTGCGACAGCAACAAGACACGTGTGTTAAAAGCCGGTGTGATCGGTAAAATTTGTTAGAACGGTTTGCTCGTGACATAATATTAATTTCATTGCATTGATGTTATATTTATGTTATATTTCACGGATGTATGTACGTAGATTTGTAATTCAAAGAATATTCGCCTCTTATTTCGAGCTACATATATTTTTATGTTGTTGCACTAATGGGTGAATTTTAACTCCGGCTTTTATCAACGTCGTTTAACTTTGTTCGTGTCTATTTCTACCAAATTAACATTTTATCTCAGTTTACGTTACTCTTTATCTTTTTCTGGTTTCTGGAATTGGAAAAAGATAACAATTTAGTTAAACCGTAACTTAAAATTAATCTGCATTAGTAGAAATGGGCAACGATCAGTTTAATTCATCGTTTGTCTCTTTCTCACTGTCGACGCTATCGATTTAAGACCCTGCATCCTGCATCCACGTTGCTAGAATTGAGCCAAGTTCATAGCTGCTTTCGCGAGAAGATCAAAATGACCCTGTGCTATGATTGGTCAAATCTGGAATTTCATTGAATAAAATTTCAATGTGATGCTACGAAATTTCAGATTTGACCAATCATAGCACGGATCATTTTGATCTACGTCGCGAAAGCACCCCAGAAGTCGATTGGTTGTCGCAGCAACTTCCGCCGCGCGGCAAGCGTTTCCGCGTCCCGTGTGCGGTGTGAATCCCTCATTACATCCCGCGGGGGCCGTTAATGGCGGCGCTCTCGTCGCGCCTCCCCGGGAACCGAGGTTACCCCACGACGCTTGGCGCCTTCTGCCGTATCGAAGCTGCAGTGAGCAGCAGTGAGCGTCGGTGTGCCTAAAATGGCGGACGGTGACATTGATTTGTACGCCGACGATCTCGAGCAAGATTTCGCGCAGGTAACCCGCATTTCTCTTTGATAGCAATAAAAGTACAGGACTGCGCTCCCCCTCTCTCCGTACGGTCGAAGGGAACGGAGGGACGATTCGCGATTTCGACACATCTACACATCGACGGTCGCGACGCGCCGCGCGCCGCACCGCTCCGCTCCGCATCGCGCCATATCGTGCCGCGCCGTGCCGCAACTGTGAGCGAGCGATTGTTGCTCCGCGTCGATCCCGCGCGCTACCGAGGCCGAAGCCGAGTGTTTATTGGCGTCATGGTGGACGGGCGACCGTCACTAACGATCGTCTCGCGTCGCTGATCTCTCATTGTGAACATTACTGTGTGTCCTCCACCGCTCGCTGACGAGCCGGCGGGCGATTACTCCGGGAGGAGAGAGCGCGCGCGCGCGCGCGCTAACGAACGAACGAACGAACGAAAGACCGAGCGAGCGAGCGAACTTAGCAAGCACGTACAGAGACGAGCTTCACTCCAAGAGTGTTACCGCCTTCTTGTTGCCGCCGCGCAGTTGACCGATCGCCTGTCTAGCTAGTGCCTGCCTGCCGCCGTCGATCGCGCGCGCGTACCCGGTTGCCGGACGAGCTAAGCGCTAAAACAGTAACACGGGTTCTCGCAACAGGAATCGACCGCAAAATGGTGCTAGCGGTAAGGCGAATATCGTGCAGTTAAAAAACACTCTTCACTCTTCCGCTCGCTCCTTCCTCCACGCCCCCCCCCCACCCCTCTGTCGCCCCTCCCTCTCCCCCCACCCCGCCCCGCTCCGACCCTCTTGTGATTTTCAACCCTCTTCCCGCGGCACGCATTTCCCTTCACACGCAAGTAACCAACACGCACGCACGCACACATATACGTACACGTTGCGGCGTATCGCACTGCATGCTCTATCACATTTTCTTTTTGCACTCTCTCTCTCTCTCTCTCTCTCCTCCCCCTCTCTTTCTCTCTCTCTCTCTGTCTTATTGATTTCACTTCCCACATGCGAATGTCTTTTACCCTGGTGAGAAAAGCGCCGGTTGCTCAGAGCATCGCGGCAGGGATTGAAACCGGTGTAATTTCACACACGAGTCGGGCTTCTACGCGCTCGCTACGAACGCGAGAGATCGCACCTCCAATCGTGTCCCCCTTCCCCCCCTAGTAGCACAGTGCGTTGACCAAACGGTGGTCAAACATCGGCCCAATTACTTGGTTGTATCGGGCCGATGCGCCGTGCCACTAGGGTTTTTTTTTGCGCGCGCGCGCGCGAGACAAGATCGCGTGCTCTGTTTTCACGCGCGAGGAAACCGCGGAGCACGCACTCGGTCGTCGAATACACCTAACCCTTTTTCTCCCTTTCGGCAAAGCACTCGTTACGTCTATTGTGTACGTTTCAGATCGAGTGTATAAATAGCGCGCGGGCGTACTAAGATCCGCGACGCCGCGGGTCTGAAACGTGTAACTTGAAATTACACAGCGAGTTCAATCTCTGCTCTTACTCCTCACAAAAATGCAAAAAAAAGTCTGTTTATCTGCATATCTGTTACAGTCGAAGTGTACGATCGGTTGAACCACAAGGTGCGCAGGAAGTCGCGTGTAATAAGAAAATGGTACATCTAACGTTTTTTTACATATTGATGTAATTTATTTTTCCATAAATTAGTTGTACGCTGGGCCTCTCGCAGGAGGTGCCTTGGGACCACGTTGTTATACTGAGCGTCGCCCCCTCGCCCCCTCAATCCCGTGAGTTTGTCGAATCTCGGCCGCTCCCCCGAGCTCTTTGCATTGCCCCGTTGGATCTTTTCGCGGCTCACGTTCGCTCTGAACGCTCAAATAACAACGTGGACTCGATGCGTTATCACAGAAATTCGCTGGTACTCTCCTTTTGTGTCTCGGAAAGATTTCTCTCTCCTAATTGAGGATCTCACTAAGCTTCTCTTGGGCAAACATAAGTTGTACTTTATTAGCTTTAACGATAACCACGATGATGAAATTGGCACATGCTAAAGTAACGGTGCGTTTGTCTGGTGTTGTACTTTCTGACCTATAAGTGTTTTGTTACTTTGCACTTTGACTGTAACATATTCAGTACGTATGTGCGTGTATCAAGTAGAAAGATTGCAAAGTTCTACCATTGCATATATATCATTTGCCGAATTAATCTGTCTATCATGTAACGAAATGCAATGAAGATTGCTGTTTAGTATCGCTGTGACATGACGCGTTTCTTCCAACGTAAGATCGAACGTTTCGTGGTGCCTGTCTTACTGCAACGCCCGTCTACGCGGTCTGTTTCAGGATGAATTCGCTGGGGACGGCGTTGATCTCTATGACGACGTGATTGCCGCCCCAGCAGGTGGCAATGGCGGCGTATCTTCCGGGAACACCGGCGAGGGTGGTGGCGACACCACGTCTCCGAACGAGGAGACCAACGGTAACGCGCCCTACCATCAACTTGGCAACAACATACAGCCCAATCAAATTGGGAGACGACACCAATTATACGTTGGGAACCTGACATGGGTATATACGTGTGCTCAGAACTAAAAAGATTCCTTCTTTTTATTTCGCTTCTGCAGTCGAATCTTTCAATGTCCGGCATAAATTAAGATACGATGTACACCCCAGACAAGGGGATTACATTTACAAATTAATGTCCAACCGTATGATGTATCTTTTATTGTGCAAGTTTTTCAGCAGAAAACGTTTTGATAAAAGATTTTTACACGCTCTTTCTCCCCTCGCGTTTGAAAATTGTCCAATAATGAAAGCAAATTTTATTTGCAGTGGACAAGCGACCAAGACATAACCGACGCTGTTCAAAGTATCGGTGTATCTGACTTTGTGGAGGTAAAGTTCTTCGAGAATCGTGCCAATGGTCAATCCAAAGGTTTCTGTGTAATATCCTTGGGCTCGGAACAGAGTATGAGAATTTGCATGGAGAGGCTACCTAAGAAGGAGTTGCACGGACAGAATCCCGTAGTAACTTTCCCTACGAAGCAAGCTCTCAACCAAGTATGTGTCATTATAATAAAGAAAAGATATATATATGTAAATTAATTTCACAATGTACACAAGTTGTTACGATATATTCGCATTAGCGGGTACACATGGGACTTGTACACAACAATCTTTCTTTTTTGCGTGTTCTCAGTTTGAGTCGCAGTGTAAGACACGACCTGCCCCAGCTCCGCAACAGAGTCAAAGCCAACGTCCTCATAACCCGCACCAACATCAGCCGCCAATGCCGCCGCATCAACAACATCCCCAACACCCTCAACATCCTCAACATTCCCAACAAAATCACGGTCCTAGAATGATGATGGGCCCGCCACAGGGTGTGAGACCGCAGAGAATGCCGCCACCTGGGATGGGCCCACCAGGTCCTGGGGGACCAGGCCAGCAGGGCCCGCCACGTATGCACGGCCCGCCGCTAGGACCAGGTCCAGGTCCGCATCATCCGTTGCCCGGTCATCCTAATCAAGGGCCGCCACCTGGCTACCAGCAGGGGCCGTGGAACGGGCCGCGTCCGAATGGTCCGCCCGGACCGCCTCGAGGACCTAGTGGACCTGGGGGTCCACCTCAACAGGGTCCACCTGGCCCGGGTCCTGGCCAACATAGACCCCCTGGAATGGTATGTACCATGGACAGTGTTTTCTGCCATGATTAAGCAGTTGACCGACCATGACTGGCGATGTGTTTTTAACACAGAAAATTTGTTGCGAAAAATATTACCTCTAGGGTTTGAACCTGGAACCCTCTCCCTTCACTCTAGGCGGGTGTCTCAACCAATTCGACCACCGAGGCATACGATGTATCGTATGATTTTTTTAAAACCGTTCGTTTCGTTCGTGTTTTATTATTTTCATGGCATTACTCGAGTTCAAAAAAATTTTTAAAAATTGGAATTTTTGGATAAATAACTGGCTATTAGAAGATAAAATAACTATAAAACAATAATAGTAAATTGCGTAGCAACATTACGTAGAGAAATATTTTAAATGTATTAACTTTCCTAAATTCTATTTGGATCAAGTAGGACTTATATTTTTTCAATTCATCAAATACTACCACATAATGTTTGTACAAGTGCACATATGCATACGAATTTAATAGAAATCATCGACAAAATATTACATCATAATAGTACACTTAAAAAAATATATAGATCTTTTAGAGTATTGTAATATCCAATAAAACTATATATACATAAACGCGAATGTTAGATTCTTGAGAGAATATTAAAATGTTCTGCGTTACACATACTTTGGTATATGTGTTAACGATATTCGCTTTTTTACATACAAATTTTACAGAATATCAATTTCACAAGACATACCAACGTTGAAATTTCTTTCATACAAACTCGCACCTCGTTCTCTAATTAAAAAAATTATCTGATTTATTCGTGAAGCTAGACAGTAATTATCTATATAATTTTTTTTTTACCGTACGGTAAAATTATAACAGAGTGAAATAGAACCTTCATCTGTCTTTGTTCAGCAATTTCACGGTGGTCCACCGGGTCCACCTGGACAAGGGCCTCCACGTGGCCCTCCTGGACATCCTGGCGGACCTCCGGGTGATCCCAGGGGTGCTCAGCCACGTCCGGAATGGAATAGACCACCAGGTTCGTGCGCAGACCGAGTTTTGTTGTTCTCTCGAAGCCTCTGTTCACCTGTGTAAAATCTTGTTCATAACTCTAAACCCCCTTGATATTGACTCATTACTCCTCTGAAACATCTTGAATGCTTTTGTACCACCTTTTCTGCATGACTGTGTAAACGATAGAAAGAAAACAACGAGGATGGTGGAAAGTTGCGGGTAAAAATCGTGTCGAAGTGATAGTAGTAGTAGTAGCGCACTATGTCATTTCCAATTTGCCGACGGCAGATTGGTATTACTGATGTGACTGTTCAATATGTGCATAGGAATGCATCATGGGCCTCAGGGACCACCAGGTTTCCCTCAACATCAACATATGCAAGGGCCGCAGCCTGGCCAAGGCCCACCACAGAGAGGACCTCCTCCAGGTTCTATGGGTGGTGAGAGACTTAGAATGCTCGTTCAATGTTACAAATTTTCAATTGTTTTCTACACCGCGAGATGCATGATATTGAGGGAAATTGATCTGGCAGAAGCATTGAGGTGCAAGGTGTTTCAAAGGATCATTTCGTAGTTGAAAATTATTTTCAAATAACCGTATGACTGTTCGTTGAATCCAGTAATGTCTAAAGTACCACCGATAAACGCTACTGTACGTTTTATTGCACCACATTTCCATAATCCATGAATTTTGGTGTTCGTTCTCGAAGTATTTGAATACGTAACGGCGAAAGTGCATTAATGATCTATTTCAACACCTAATTCGATTTTTGAAATAGAATTTATTTCCATTATCCACGTGATCCATCATCGTCATCACGTGTTTGTAGCCACGATACGTTTATCATTTATATTTGACAAATGAAAAGTATTAGGTATTAACCAAGTACATTGTTAGGTCCAGGCGGACCGCCGCCCGGACACGGTGGTCCTCCGCAAGGTCCTCCTCAGGGACCGCCGGGTGGCCCAGCACCTCATGTGAACCCAGCATTCTTTCCGCAAGGACCGCCCCATCAACATCCTGGTCAACATCCGCCGGGACCTCCTGGCCCGCCTCATGGCCCGCCACATGGGCCACCTCACGGTCCACCTCATGGACCACCTCACGGCCCGCCTCATGGACAGTCGCATGGACCGCCGCATGTACCACCACACGGTTATGGACCACCAAGTGCACAAGTATTATCTTATTATCACGCCTACATATTTCAACTGACTAATATTTCAATTGCAATATTTAAATTTGTCTCTATCGCAGATTAAATTTCATGTTGTGACCGTTACTACCTCAAATAGGTTCTCTAATTAAATATAATTGCAAAAATGTAACAATTTGGCATCGTGCAAGAGCAACGTTGTAGATATGCTCATTATGGAATCTCTGGGGGAAAAATGTCGATGCAAATAGACGTTAAGTACAATTTTCTATTCTTGTTTTTGTATCGTGTAGGCTCCTTATGGAGCACCTGGACCTGATCATCGTCCAGAGGGCCCCCCGCCGCTCACCGAGCAAGAGTTCGAGGAGATAATGGGCCGTAATCGTACAGTGTCCTCGTCCGCGATTGCTAGAGCGGTATCCGACGCCGCGGCAGGTGAATACGCAAGTGCCATAGAGACCCTGGTGACCGCTATCTCGCTGATAAAACAGTCGAAGGTAGCCGCAGACGACAGATGCAAGATCTTGATCAGTTCCCTCCAAGACACCTTACGCGGCGTCGAGACCAAGAGCTATGGATCCGGACGTAGAGGTGAGTCGAGCATATCTGCGTGTAGTGTGACGCGTAATAAAATAAATTATACAAAATTTTGTTGCTGAAAAGCGTCGGAATTGTAGCCTAGAAAATTTAGAAGAAGGAAGAGCGGCAGAGATGCACCACATGTGGTCCATAGAAAAATTAATAATCTTTCACATTTTAAGATATTAAGCTGCAAAAGCTTTCCCGTGTCTCTGCAAGTGTCACTTGAAACTTGTCTCAAAGTCTAGTCGTGCGGTTTGTTTCATGGAAACGAATTTTCTTGCAGAGCGTTCACGCTCGCGTGACCGAGAGCGCAGCCATAGAAGGCGACGCGAGCGGTCCAGAAGTCGGGACCGTGAATACCGGGAGCGTAGCAGAGACCGCGAGCGGGAGCGTGACCGGGAGCGTGATCGCGAGAGAGAGCGAGATCGTGATAGGGACAGGGAACGTTATTACAGCGAACCATATCCGAGAGAGCGTTCACGCAGCAGAGAAAGAGACCGCGAACGTGAAAGAGATCGTGAATATAGAGAGCGTAGCAGAGAAGAAAGGTAAGCCAAATGATCTCACTAAACTACTCTCTTAACTGTGTCACTACTCTCTAGTGCGTATATTCGTTGTACAAAGGGAGGAATTTTGTTGAGAGAAGCTCTTCCTTAGGGAACTTGATTGTTAGAGAGGAAAAAAAAAGAGAGAACTAAAGAGTAAGTTTGTATTGATACTAATAAAATACCATGTATTCCGTGAGAGATGTCGTTCGATAAAGTAGAAATAGGATAATACAAGGGACTGAAACCCAAGTTTCTCGACATCCATATTTTTCTTCTCATGCGATACGTATTTAGAATATTTTAGAGTGGAATTCATATTTGGATTAATCAATTTGCTTCCGTTGTTGAAGACGTTGTCGATAAATGTCCATATTGTACATTTGTATCATGACCGAGAACATTAATCATGAACGGATCTCTCAACATTATTTGTATCAATTGTAAATACGGGACGCTCTGAAAAAAGCAACAAAGGGTAGGAAAAATCGATATATCTATAAGCAAGAAAAGTGCAAGACGTATACGAGTATGTGTCAGCTTGCTTATTGATATTTCGATAGTGAATAGAAGCGCACTTTTATTACCTCAGCCGTAACATTGTCTCATTCGTTGTCACTCCAGATCTTATACAGCTGTTTGAATTGTTGCGCAATAATTACGCAAAAAAATTCAATACTATGTTTATCTTATATTTAATTATAATAACGCAACGCGATATTTATAGCGATAGCTGCAATTTATAAACCATTACGAGAGTAAAATTATCTCTGGAGTTGTAAAATGCTGTCTATATCGCAATTAATGTTACATCGCAACCTTTTCTGATTGCGTTCTGCCAATAATTTTTGTCGCATACGACTACGATCAAGTATTCTTTAATTCTTTACTAATGTATAAGGTCTCATTGTATTCCGTGTTTTCCACATCTAATGGTTCCTACGTAGACAATATGCAGTACATTACATAGTGCATTTGATAACAAGAATCAGTATTTTTATCTTATTATATATTATTATTTATTATATTATTTATAAACTATATATAAATTGCAGCATTTTATTGACCGTTTCTACCGAAGTATACTGTGAAGTATAGGACGACATAAAGTGTACGAAAGCTGTTGTTGAAAAAGTACAAATTGAATAACTTCATTCAAGTAAAACGCTAATATTATATTTTTATTTGTTGTATATTATTTTTATTATGTACGAGAACAGCGTCTTTATGGTGCTATATTTCAGGTATACTCGCGCGAAAAGTAAACGTAATAAAGTGACTCCCGAAAAGATAGCTCAGTGTAAGATATTATGATAATATATAGGCCGGAACATAAAAATTTATGTACTTTCCTAATTTGTTTATAACTCGCTACTTTCTCACGTGCATTCACGTTGTGTGAGAAGGATTGTATTCTTCTTTTGGTTTTCTCACGTGTACACGTGTACAAAAAAGTGTGTGACCTCTCATAAGCACGCGTGGTACAAGCCGGACGCACAGTTGAGATTGTAAGATTCAGTTACACGCGGCCGCTTATGATCTTTTAGTTGTTTATCACAATTTAATTTTAAGACTCGCAAATACATTGTGTATATTTGTATCACCTTTTACTCGGTATATCTCACTATATTTTATAAGGGTATTAATTCGGTGAACAGCGAGACGAAAAGTGCTGACTGCTGGATGAAAAGAACGTAGCTTGCTAGCATAAAATGCAATGCGTAATAAAGGCAATCATCATATTTTAATGGCAGATATCACTCTGATTCACGGTCCATGTTCATGCTATTCTAAAATTTGTATTATAGTGACATAAAAACATGAAACCCTGTAATCATGTACACGGACTATTAATCAAAATTATAATTATATAAGAAAAATTAAAAGCGAATTAAAAGTATCCTAATGTGTTATTTTTAATCTTTACTGCACAACATACTTTTTACAATCTGTTTGGTACATGGTACTAGGGTTAATGTTAAATCATAATGTTCTCGTCCCAATTCATCCCTGAATCATTGATAGCTGGTATTAATTAGTGGCCATTAATTTCGATGTGTACATTAAAATCTTTATCTTATAAATTGCCACGTTGAATTGCAATTGTGATTCCATACATCCAGGCACTTTATATTTGTATGTGATTATTACATATGTAATTTATAAAATAGCGTAAGCCCCTTGCTAAACATGTCTCTCTCGTTAATGTCGAAACAACAGTCCGAGCTATAGCCTCTCTTAGGATAATTTTTTGTTTTTAATGAAATGTACTAAGCCTGGTTAAGTAGTACATAAACCGTCATAACAGAATGTCCATTTTCCATTAGTACAACTCGTCAATCAGCCAGGCCAAGAGTAAAAGAAGAACCGCCAGAGGCGGCACCCGTCTCGTCTTCCAAAGCGACTAGGTAATTGACATTTTTTTCATTACGGCGATTGCATGTAGACTTAAATAAATGTTAAGTAAACGACGAAATGACAGAAAGTGTTCATTGTGCGGGCAAATACAATTCATGCCCTTTCCTTCACTTTTCATTTTAAACACCGGGAGAAAAAATAAGCATATACGTAGGATAATGAAATAAGAAAAGACTTTAACGATGATTAAAATAATCGAAAAGACGAAAATTGCCCTTCGATTAATAGATCCTCTATTGCTGGACTCGTAAAGAAGAATTGAGGGAAAGTATCTTTAGGTATTTATATTACCGTTGTAAAACTTTCGAAATATCACGCGTTCGTTATCGTTACAATTGCATAATCTCTGTACTTGTTGCGTGCCGATTTATTTTATGTTTATGCGCTTTCGTGCACAAAATACGTCGGTTAGCAGAATCAGTTGAAGGAAGTAGAGAGAGAGAGAGAGAGACAAAGCCAACGGTATACGTTCATCGTTCCTTTGTATTCGTGAATAACATGAGATTAACGTTTTGTAGTAAAGTGGACTCGTAGTTGTATAACGAAGTATGCAAAGCAGCATTAAAATAAGATAATTGGCTGACGTGACTTGTGTAGGTATTATGACGATCGCTACAGAGAACGCGAGCGAGAGCGAGATCGAGAACGGGAATCGAGCCGACGACCATCCGAGCGGGAACGGGAACCGGAACGGGAACGTGAACGAGAACGGGAACGGGATCGTCGGGATGAACGGGGAGACTCCTCACATCGCTCAAGACACTAAAAAGAAAAAGAAAGAAAGACAGACCGAAACAAGCACCGAAGACGATGCGAGCAAGGTCAGCGTGACGTAGGAATCGATGATGAAGCAGTAAATGCAACAACATACATTCACACCCAGCGATCCTCGTCTTTTATTTCTTGAAGTAAAAATATATATCATGTTGCTTATATAATGTACGAACAACTGTGACATCCAAAGAATTTAATAATGACTATTAATGACACGCGGCATTATCAAGGAACATTACAGTAGGTTACACGGTAAAAGGGTAATTTCGAGATTTGCTTTAACGAATTGCTTAACGAATAGTATAGTATGAAAATTTTAGCAGACTCCACATAGACTTCTTGAACGTCCTTGTCTTGTTTCGAAATAGCTGAGCTCAAGTATAGAATTGCCGTGAAATCTCTTCATTAAACGCCGGAGTCCTTTTGTCTTACAAGCATATGTATTAATATGATAATGTACTACATGTATACAAGTATACATATATCCATGTAACTGTGTTAATTAAGGAAATATTCATTTAGTCCGAGAGTGGGTTTGTAAACGAATAGTTATCGCGTGTCGAGTGTCGAGTGGGAGGTAAAAAAGGAGGGAAAAAAAGACATCTTGACTCGAGATCGTCCGAGATTATGATTCGCAGTGACAAGAAACAGAGAACGTGAGCAAGATGCGACGAAAACAAGAGAAACAAGAACGAAGATATCTACGCGAGAAAACCACCAGCCTCCTTCTGCACGGACGGTTCAAGATTGTATCTTAACGTAATACATATATACGCTTTCAAAAAAAAAAAATATAAATGCTAAACATGTCTTTACTTTATTCATCTGTACACACAAATTCCTGATAAAAAAAAGAACGTTTTTGTTTCTGCGATTTTATGACGCTCCCGAGTTTACAAGTTTCTCGAAAAGCTAGATCATTATATGTAAATATGTATTAATTCTCTGACGCGTGTTACATTCACGAGACTCAAATCTTCCATAATATTATAAGAAAACTGTACGCGCATCCGAGAGTTAATAATGGCGAAGAAAGAAATATTCTGTTATGAGATGAGGTGAAACTGATTAATTATATATGATTCGCTTTTCGAAGAAATGAAAATATTGAGAATGGAGTACGTTTTATAATAAGAAATTAGGAATAAATGTGCTGATATTATGTTTGTGAGCTACACAGATTGTCATTTCATGTATCTTCTACAAAAATCTGCAGCATAATCGATTGTTAGTATTATAGTAATAAGTTTGAAGCGTATTACAAAAATATATTGCGTTACTTTACAGTAATAATATCATATCATAATACCAAAAATTTAAATATCATAGAAGAAATGTTGGAAAGTGTCTCACAAAGCATTATATAATGCAATTATTCCTGTACAAAATTAATGAACTCCTGATCTTTTGTGTTGTAAATTGTAAGATTAAGTTAAACAATGCATGAAACTTTGGTTATAATCATATTTTCATGTGCTACTTGCAGTATAAAGTTAATGACTATTACATCATTTATATACAAGTAATATTAAGATAATCAAAAACTGGTACATACAGGATATTGATAGCCAAATTGTTCACCTGTTATTATATAAGGCAGCGCTGATCCATGTACGAAATATCGACATATCGAACACAATGCCTAAAAAATTGTGTACTTTATTTTTATAAATAAGCGATGTGAACAATTTGACTATGAGTATAATTTTATTGAGTTTGTTCTTGCAATACATTGATATATTTTGCATAATAGTCGTCAATCTTGGAAAAACTAAAATTCTCAGCAAACTATTTTTGAAATGCAAATTACTGATCTTTTATTTATGTTTAAACTTGGAAGTGCATATGGCTAGTATTTTATTTAAACTATATGCATTCATTTCTTAAGAATGGTATATCAATATTTATATTTGTGGATTTATGAAATGCGCTAAGAAGTGAATGAAATTTTGTTGAATTAACATAACATCGCATTCTAAAGAGAAAAGTAAGAACAGGAAAGAACAAAAATTTTTGATAAAATGTATCTTTTATGTATTATTTAATCTGAGGTATTTTATACGAGAAACAAAATTTTTATCTCTATGTAAATTTACATTAATGCTTTCCGAAAACAGTGTCTCTTTAGTTTTATGCTCAACTAGCTTTAATGTAATTTTGCAGAAGGATGGAATTTTACCTATTTTCTCTCTTTTTTAGGAATGGCACGAATGAAACTTAAGAAAAAAAAGATATGCGCGTTAATGAGACGCGTATATTTTCAACAGCGGAATATCGTGCAAACGTTCCTGCCTTCTATACTATAAATTAAGAATATCATATATTATTTTCATGTAATCTCCATAATCTCATAACTCTGTTGAAATACCTTATTAATTGATATCTAGTTAAAGATGATAGTATGCGTTTATCGTTACGATCTACTACCCACCGACGCTTAAAAGGGTTCTCTCCTTTCTAAGATAAATTATTTCTGCATGATTTTATACGCATCCAATGTTTTAATTTTATTTACATCCAAGAATTTGACATACCCAAGGGGGAATGAATCTTAGTCATTTTATACATATTTATATATAAGTTACGTAATGCATCAAACACATTTTTAAGCCGAAGTTTTTTTAGATATTTAATGACAAAATTTTAAGAAATTGTTTCGGACCACTTGCACATTTGACATCACTTGACTAGTACGAAGTTGCGTTGTAAAATTTTTTTAATTTGCCGAAATATGATTATTTGCGCATTATCAAATTTCGACTTGTACCTCATGAGAGCCGGAGAAATTTTGTAATTGAAAATTTTCAGACATTACGCTATGTAAAGTGCAACTGTACACAATTCTATTCATATTTAATATTATTATTCAGCAATGCGTGGCATGCTACTTAAATGTTACTGGAACAAAATATTAATTGCTGGTTTTTTTTTTAGCTGAACCATTCGAGAGAACGGCATATTAATAATGAATTTCAAAGTGCAAAGTACAAGGTTCCTTTAATGAAATTCTATTGCATTTAAATCTTCGAGAAACAGCACTTGTTAATAAAAAAGAAATACGAAGCCGTTCTCATATGCAGTATTATTGCAAATACTTGATGATATACATCGTAATATAGCATTACCGCAGAAAAGCATCACATAATTATAATGTGATATACATGTTTTGCGGATATATCTTTGGAGAAACATTATAAGAAGCCGTGCACAATATATCCATACTGTAGAATTATTTCTTTCTAAGAGACAAAGTACAATATTTAACGAAGGCAGCATCGTAAACCTTCGTTTTAGTAATAAATTGTATCGATTATTAATCAGCTTCAGCTATTAGAATTCTATTGTTGATGTTTTGTGCACGGTTTCGTGCGATCGCGAGCATACAATCGTCTGCATAATTTGTTCCTATATGTATTTATCAGTTTTTCACTCTCAGACTTTGTTTGCTAAGTGCTCATTACCTCGAGAGAAAGAGAGTTCTGTTGTTACTCAACAGAACTCGGAAACCGCAACCATTCCGTCGACGTACTATAAGCCATCGTTGCGATTATTTGTCATACTTTTGATTTCACGTAGCATTTTGTTTGCGTAATAGAGCGCGGTCGCTCTCGTTCGAGAATAAAAAGTTGCCTGGGAGAGATATGTATGGACGGTAATGGGTAAGTGCAACACAACCGAAAGCCAGCTCTATACATTTAATTATACTTAATTTTAAGCGTATTATTTTTGCGTACAATATACTCAATACGAGACGGATATTTTTCTCATGAAAAATAGACACTTCTATTTACTTTCATGATATTCTCTTTAAAAAAGAAAGAGACAAGAGGACTTTATCTGTAAACGATTTTATGTATAAACGTAACTTGATATTTTGCAAATTACATTAACATGTTGCTCACTGTGCGCATGTTGCTAAAATCCTAACAAAGGATACGTTTTCTTTTTATTTATATACACGAATTTTGTTAAAATAATTTGATATTACACATATGTATTCAAAACAACAATTGCACGGCGGAGAGCAACATGTTAAAACCATCTATACAAAGTGCTTCCTTTTTATATGATTCGATCTCGCCGTAACTGTCTATTAGCAGAATTAGTATCAGGAGAAAATGTATGATAACATTATAAGCCCCTCTCAGAAGATCCGTAATTCACATCAGATCTCAGGATAATATTCTGTTTGTAATTTTAATGTCATGTATTTCGAAATGTATATATTTTAACGTATATTTTATCTCTGTGCACATTTCTGATTCTTCAAAAGTGTGTTTTTCGTGCGGTACACGGTATATAAAATTACAAATAAAACTTTATCCTGAATTGTAATACTTGAAATGTGGTTCATTTAGGGCGGGCTTTATTAGAAATACTTGTCAATGTATATTTTTTCTGTCATCAATAGTCAAAGCACAATGTTTTATTTTAATACGTGAAAATTTTAATACTTGAACAATTGCAATTATTACCGTTTCTAAAATGCTAAAAATGTCGAGCGTTGCGATCTCAATCTGCAAGAATGGAAGCATAAAACCAACAACCTATCTGAAAGGAAATATTTTCTGCTTCCAAATTGTATTATAAAATTTATTGGAAACATAGAGATATTGACATCTCTTGCGATTTATTGTAAAATGAAGTGTCTTCTCCGCGATTGTGCAAGCTTCGCAAGTTATGGCACTTTTATGATGTTGACTAAAAGAGTGAAACGTCCATTTATGAATAATTTAGTGTACAGTGACTCAATACTTTGCTCAAAAATTCTCAATGCTCAAATCGTATGATGCCATAGCTAAAGATAATACATACAGATATATTGGTAAGAACATTTTGAATCTTAATTTGATATCTGTATTCGATAACTTTTTAATACTTTTTTAAATAATTATATATACAAAAAAAAGATTATAGAGATAAATTGTGTAAAGAGCTAAGTATAGCTAAGATATTATCTAGTCACATTACGATAGATTCTATCGGATAGAAGATCACGAAAGTTTTGTATTTTATTGCCATTTGAACTGTGATACCGATATACACTTATGCAAAAGTCTCTTATTAGTAAATATTTTTCTAAACTTAGTAATTCCATATCATGATGAACTTTTGATTTTGCTTTCATGTGAAAAGGATAATGTTTAGTGCTATCGCATTACGATGCACAACGTATTTATAGAAATAATGATTGAAGTCTTCACAAGACTTGTGTGAATAATTTTTATATGGATTTATTTATATTCGTAAGAATACACATATACCAATTTAAGTATCTATACAAAGATCTTGCCATAAGTTTACAGACCTGACGCTGTAAAAGTATATGCTGCATATATTACAGTAATGTCAACGTGTATAACGTTATGTTAAATCTCGATTTATTTAATGTATCGCGAACGATCTGGATTTTGAGTTTTACCTTGCTAAAGAGCTGCTTGCAAAACCATAACAAGAATTAGGAAATGCCGAATGTGTGTGTAATAGGCCACGTACGATGTTATATTTACACGTTGTACGCGTGTAATTGTAATATGTATTTCGATAACGTCAAATAAGGTAAGTGATAAGACAAATAATGTAATATTCATGTAAATCTAGATGTACACTTATCCTCTTCCCAATCTCTCGCAAAAAGAAGTTAATAATGCGGCGTCAGGGATCATGCGAGAATATTTCATTTACTGTACATGCATGTCCAACAACTCTGTACGCGAAAAGGCTATAATCAATCGTTGCAGTTGTGATTAATGATAATATTACAATTATAACGATCTTATAAAAAATGGTACATTTTGATAGTGAAAAGCAGTAAATTTGAAAAATGCGTGGCTCTGTCGTGATGATATAGTAATAATGTTTGTATTATATAGCGATTTTGTTCTGTCTTACAGTTTACGATGTTCTTCTGTACTGTCCAACACTTGCAACTGTGATAACGAATGTACCGAGATAATAAATCCAAATATTTGCGACGATAGAAACGAAAATCTTTACTAGATAGGTAATAAATAATAGATTCAAGTACGTCTGAAGAGAGCTTTATTTTAAGAGATGTACGTGCAACTTGTTTTACTTATCTCTTATTTACAATATTTACTAATGAAGATTGCATCTAGTGAGCTTTCTCTCTATCATACAATTTACATGATAGGCGTGCCCGCAACGGAAGATCGCGATTCCACTGTCACCTAGCAAAATTGGCGTCTGTAAAGACAACGTGCAGCCCGGGCACGTCAGTGACTTAATCCGATGACGCATACCCCAATGATGAGCACCTGTCCCGAACACATTTTTATCTATCGGTCGCCTCAAATCTTTTTCGAGAGCCTTCGCCAGTTGATCGCGTATCTGTGACAATGAAAATAATATTTAATATTGTTCGTTTTAATTAATATACGTTATCTCAATACTTGTACTCTCGGTGAGGGAGGGAGGATTTTTAAACTGCTCAAAAATCAACTGGACCATTTTAATTATTACGCTCGGAGTGATCTCTTTGAAATTACTCGATTGCAAGGAGTCAATGTACGTTACAGCTTGTTTCTTTTACTAGCAGTCTTTATAAAGCAATCGAGTTGTATGATTCATTTTATACATTTGGATAACAAAAATCTGAAAAATACCTTTCCAGATGATTTTTTGATTGATGTTGTTCAGGTACTTGGTCATTTTTACGATAGAAATAGCAATGAGATTACCTGTGATGAGCAAATTGTACCAAATTCCGATGATAATTGATTAGTTTTACTGAAATCGATCGACTTCTTCACGCCTCGACGATGTAGTAGTTTTGTAAATACGATCGATTGGAATATACTGTAATAAGAGTAACACATTAGTATCAATACTTACTACAATCGCAAAATTTGAACAAACAGAGGTTTCGATGATAGCCGTATGTTGTTTTAATTAAAAGAGTCACTTATATAAGTTTTATTTTAATTTCCAGTTATTTTTACTTATTTATATAACAGAATCGATTGTTCAGAAAAATTGTAACAGGCCAAGGACGCTGTAATTTATAGAGCGTTGCATTCTATATTCTTCTACAATTTATAGAACAATGAGTAAAAAATTAGCAACCTTGTTAATATGACAAGAGTTCTGTTAGTAAGAAAAAAAATCTACTCGTCGATGGGAACTTTTCTCTTAAAAAATGTTTACACAAATGGCAAATTTTAACGTTACAAATTAATATTCTTCTAATACTAAACGACGAACTTTAGAGATTATATATATTACTTTTTAGTCGTTAATGAAATTCTTATTGACATTCGCTGTGAGATCTGTTATCTATTTATAATCATACTTTGTCATTGCCCTGTAAAAGGAAATAGGTCGTCTTTCCTCTCTTGAAGATTCTTCAATACCTTCTGTCCAAGTTAATGTCCGGCATCATGCTCTCAAGCTTGATCAAAAACGCCGTGGCCTCGTCTGGTCCCTCTTTCCTCATGATCTCTCTGGCGATCCCGCTCCAATCTATCAGCACGTCATAATCGGGCTTCCTCGCCAAAGGCATCGCGCAGAACAGGCAAGTGCCGTCCCCGATCTCGCTCAGGCACATGGCCACGCAGCTCCACTGTTGCTCGCTTAACGCCGGCAGAAGAAACGACAACACGACGTTGTCTCTGGTCTGAAGGCACTGTCTCAGCAGGTCGTCCAGTGCGCTACGTCGCTCGATGCGGATGGGCAGGTACACGCGCCACATGTAAGGTACCTTGTCGCAAATATTGCTACACTCGCTCGGCAGGTCGTCCACGTATCTCTTGATCAGGGACTCGCCGACCGCCAGGAACTTGGGCTCCACGGTCTTGTCCATCGGGTAGGGGTAACCGCAGCCGCACCTGGCGTAAGTCGGCGCGTTGATCTCGACGAAGGCTCTCGCGAGATGCCGCACGATGTAATCGTTGACAACGGAGTCGATCGACTGCGCGAATGCGTTCTCCAGGAACACGTTGTAGTAATGCAGCTCCGCGGCGCGAGTGACCTCGTAGATGAAGCTCTGAAGGCCGGGCGAGTCACGGTAGGAATCCTTGACCGTTCTCATCCTCTTGTCCGTCTCCAAGATAACTTCCTCGACTTCTCTCTCCGACATACCGGGTCTGATGTTGTTCGCTAGATCGTAGATCGAGCGTAAATCGGACTGCACCCTGTCCGTGATGTTCTCCTGAAAGTCCGGCTTCCGATTAGCGTCATCTCTGGTGTCCAACACCTCCCCGTCGTAATCCGAATCGAGCGTGTCCTCCGAGGCCGTGCCGAGCGCGTTTCCCCGCGCGGGCTCCGCCTCCCGCTCTTTCCCAGATCCCACTTGCATCTCGGATGAATCGTCGCTGGACACTTCGGGGGACTGCGACGAGGACGTCATCTCGCAGCCGTAGGTCTTCTTATTCGCGTACCTGCCGTGCTCGGGGTGCACGACCACGATCCCGGAGTCCAATTTGGCCGGTCTATTATTACCGCCGGCCTGCAGCAGCGTTATTAATGGTCGTAGCAACGCTTTCTCGTCCCGCGGCGGGTCCTCCACCTCGAGGAGCTCGACGATCTCCTTAGTGCCGATGGTCTTCAACAGTTGCGACTTATATACAAGACACGCGTTCAGACACTCGCGATATTGCTCGCGGCAGTACAGCCGCAGTATCAGGCTGTCGAGTGACGTTAACGCTATACAGCGAAACTCGCTATCACAGGTCATCAAGTAGATCCGATCGTCCACGACCGCCGTCATGCTGATGTTGGTGTACACGTTGCTCCACAACAGCATGCTCGCGCTCGCCGGATCGATAACGTACAGGCCGCTGGTCGTGTAGGAAAATAAATACCTGCGCGCGAGTACGAGCAGGTGCGAGAAATTGACGGACTGCGGCGGCCACTCCGTCTCCTCTCTCTGACTAGATTCTAAAGTACTGTCCCAACGAAATATCGCTACCGGAGGAATCGCCAGTGCCTCCTTGAACTGATGCGTCTTGACGACTACCCCGTCGGCCGACACCTCCCACAGTCTCGAGCCGGGCCGGGCGCAAAATATCTTTGAGTGATTCTCGCCGAGGATATTGCTGTCGTTGTCGGAGATGAGGTTGAACGCGCCCCGGGCGTCGTTGATGTTCCTCTCCGCCCCCTGCGCGCTCAGAGCGGCGTTCTCGCGCGTGTAGAAGCACGCGCCGAACTCGCCGTTCCGCGGTTTATTGCCTATCTGCTTGTACTGCTCCAGCACTGTGTCGCATACGTAACAACGCGCCAACGTGGAGACCAGCAGCAGAGGCGAGAGGAAGCTTAGCTGCACGATGCCGGAGTCCAGATTCATCAGCGTGCACGCCGGAGTTTGAAACATCCCGTTGACCTGAGCGCGAGGAAAGAAATTGTGCACAATACATACGATATATATACAAATGCGAAACCGCGTTTACGAGCTCACCGTGAATATGGACAGCACCATGATGGAGACCCGGCCGACCGCATCTCCCACGTATATCTCGGTACTGTTGTCGTTCCAGCAGACGCAAGTGATTTGTTTATACATGTGCTCCGTCGACACTGATATCAGTTGCGGGGTGGATTTCAGGGAGACCAGGCAGACGGTGCCGCGGGTCGTCGCCAGGGCTACGGTCTTCTCGTCAGGTGATATCGCCACACGCGAGACCACACCCTCCTGGTGGAAGACAAAGGTAACGTTGACAAACGTATCAATCGCGCATTATTAAAGCCATATAATCCGTTTGATCGGCGGCTGATCAAATGGCTGACGTACCAAGATCTAATTTCTCAATTGTGTACTGACAGAAAGATATGAATAACGTGATGGCGATTGAAGGATCATATTTACCGATAGGGGTATTATTTGCAGGAACGAACATGGCTCTCTGGAGAACAGGTAGACGCTGCCGCTGGTCGAGCCCAGTATAATGTAACTTGGCGAGGCGTGGAAGCATGTGTACTGCAATTAAACCACGATTTACGATTGTACGTACGAGACATCTTTAAAAGGAAGCGGATTTTGGACAATTGGCAGGGCGAGTAGCTCGCAGCCGCAATCGAAGGTAAAACATTACGCAACGGCGCTACGAATAAACGGGCAACGTTATATCTTGTTGTAGATGTACAATAATGTATTGTACGCAACGCAAGCTATAAATGTACTCAATTCTGTCCTGTATAGAGACAATTGGACCCCGAGGCTCGTTCGACGCGCGAAGTCGAAACGACGGACTTGTCGGGATTATTTTTATCGTTGCCCAGAAGCTGGCCGGCTCGGGCCCGAGTCGCGTGACACTCTTTTTTTTTGACAGGTGTTGACAGGTGCGTTGCGTTGTGTACGCCCACCGTACCCCTCGGCTAACCTCGCCGTCGCCTCGTGCGCGCGAGCCTCGCCGCGCGATCCCGCCGGCCGTACCTTTATTCGCTGCGTCGAATTGATCGGTTTGTACAGGATCGAGTTGATTTCCTCACGTTCTGACAGGACGTAAGGAAAATCCGGTGCGGCGGGATACATCGTCCAGCATCTTCTTGTCGCTACGAGTGACGCGCGCGAACGCGACGACGCGACCCGCGGCGCAGGCGCAGGTTCGTGTCCGCTCGGAGCGTCGCCCCGGGTGGAGTTCCGGGCGGCGATTTCACGAAGCGCTCAATTATTACAATGATATGTATTTTGACGCAATATTATTCTAAAGAATACACTTACGATTAATACATAATGTAAAATAGATTCGAAAGATTATTATAGTTTGAGACGCTGTCGCCACATCCCTTACACTATTTACACTCATGTCTACTGCATAATTTTTCCCATTTTTCAGTTTGAACTGTTTATATTGCGTTGAAACTGAACGGACAATAATTTTGATTTTTTTTCCAGCTACTTGTTCTATCTTACTTTATAACATATTTGTTTCTCATACGAATCTCACTCACCGCTTAGCTCAAAAAAATAATAAAATGTATAACCATCATTTGCGTTTGCAAACGCAACTATTAATACTTTAACGCATAATAATATGTGTAAATAATATTTCGCGTGTAATGATATTACAACGAATTGTATTGTTACGTGTAAAAATATCTTTAACGTGTTTTACACGTAATATTTCGTGTAACATAGCAAACTTTAACATTTTTTTTAGAACTTTGAGACAGTCAATTTTAATTTAATTACTGTTATTTTGCACGTATTGATGTAAAGAATGAATTGTAAAAATTTGAAACAATTCTCACATAACATGAGAATCATTTGACGCCAGCAGATGAATCAACATGATTAAGCAAAGCAGTTAATCGACCATGACTGGCTATGTGTTTTTTTTTCAACACAGAAAATTTAAACACGGAAAAAGAGAAGGGAGGTCCAGGTTCAAACCCTGGCTGAGGTAATATTTTTCGCAATAAATTTTTTGTGTTAAAAAAAACGCATAGCCAGTCATGGTCGATTAACTGCTTTGCTTAATTCTCACATAAATGATTTTACGAAATAACTACCTTAGCGAATACGGAATAACTAGCGCCACACCATGCGCGATTCGTGACTCGTATATTCGTGATTAGTGCGTAGAAAAAATGTGTCGATTCGCCGTGCGTAATTCGCCATTCGCAGGCATTTATCTTACGGCATTGGACCAAATATTGGGAATACTAGATTTACATTATGCCCCAATATTGCGCCAATATATTGTGCTACTAGAAAAGATATAATGATATCGTGGTGTTGCTTGACCGAGTGCTCCCCCATTTTGTCGGCATCCTTGTTGTCAGCAACGACGCCGCTGAAAAAGTTAATGGATCGAACACGACTGTTAGCGACGTACGTCGCTCTCACGCAATAAATGAAAGTGAAATTGAACATGAAACTGCAAGATGTTAGTACGATAATTAATTCCTACTCTTCAGGAGTAAATTAATTGCAGAAACGATTGACACAGGCGGACGTTAATTTGAAACGTTACGCTGAATCAAACTCGAGCCTCAAAGACTTAATGTTAAATGATAACTAAACGCTTAGTGGTTTACTGAATAGGCTTTAATTTTACAAAGAAATAACTGTGATGCAGTAAGATGTATATTAAATATGTATTAGAGTTTATTATGCGCAAGAATAAAATATCGGATGATGATTGAATGCGCCAAGCTACGAAAAAGATTGGCACAAATAAACGTTAATTACTTTGAAGTGTTCAGCTGAAGGGTCAAGAATTAAAAGAATTATCTGAATCTATCTGACATAACAGAGTTGTTTTTTTACAGAACTATATTATTTCCAACAGAACATGTGACTTAAACTCAACTGTCAAAATAAGCATTAACTGAATTTTACTGAACTATGAAATTATCATCTACAAATTATAGCTTTGGAACTTTCTTTCTAAAAATGAACCTTACATTAGGTATTGTAATTCAGATCAACGATACACAAAATAAGCAATACATTTAATTGCTTTCTTGACTTAAATAATCCTGATTATTACGAAGCATTAATAATAGATAAATTTTTTATATTTTTTTACATTATCTTCGCCAAGATCGCAATTAAGACGTACTCGTAATATTTTATTAAATGCACGTCGATTAAATTCGAACGATTTCTTTTAAGAACGTTGAGAAGGGATTGGTATAAGGTGTCCCGATTACAACAACGCAATCCTCGTTGCTGGAACAGGTTGTGAGTTAAGCCAAATTCGTTTTAAGATTCGGGTCATTTTGTGCTGGAGGGAGAATTCTTCAGTGGGGGGCACTCAGCGTAGATCGCGACCTTCTTCGCTCGCGGTACACATCGTTTTCAGTAACGGTGCATCCATGAGCCATAACGTTCCCCAAGTTTTTCATCCTTTGTCTTCGCCGCGATAGTGTGTGCGCGAGTGTATGAGTGAGTCGCCGCCAGCCGAAAATTTCAGTAAATCGTCTCCGTGCGAGAGCGGATTCGGACGATGTTGTCCTTCAATATAGCGAGGTGCGCACGCGATAAAAATTACTGATATGAAATACAATCGGCTACATCAACCGCGGTAATATTGCGCTAGTTAAAATCGCAGGGGTTTCGCAAAATTCGCCCCAACTGATTAATGAAAAGAAGCCCAAGATCATTTCCACTTCGGGCGAAGTGATTTCAATGCGCGCGAGAGACAATGTCTCTTCCACTCGAGAGAGAGAGAGAGAGAGAGAGAGAGAGAGAGAGAGAGAGAGAGAGAGCTCGTACGGCTTTCCCCTATTTTCTTAAATTATTTAAACTTTATGTCGTAAAATATTAGAAAGTTTACATTTTAGCGCGATTAATAAATAATCCTGATTATTACGAAGCGATAATAATTATAGATAAATAAGATCGTTCTGAGCGGCTTAGGAAAAACCTCTGTGCGTAGTTTGATTCAATCTCGTCTATTTCCATTCAACGTGAAATTGCTTTTAAACGCCTGACAATTGAAATCTTTAGAAACGAGATGACTTCAAATGATCTCTGACGCATCTGCTGCAACAAATGTTCGAAATAAATGTCCGAATTTTACGCTTTCTCGCTAGAATTTATTGGGTCATGCGCATACTTTTCTAATCGCACTCTTCTTTTTTTTACTCTTTTTCGTTAGACATTGTCTCGTAACAGACTAATGCTTCAAAATAAATATTTTGTTCTCAAAATTTATGAGATATATTTACGTAATAATTTCTTCCCCGGGGAAAAAGCCATACATCCAATTTTATCTAATTGCATCAAATAATGTCAGATGTGACAAAATTTAAGCAGATTATATCCAAATTTTAATGCATCCATTTATAAGTATATCAAATCAGATATAGTCAGATAAAACTTTATCATATCTGACATTTTGGATACAATTAAATAAAATTGGATATATGAATTTTTCCCCCGGGTCTACATAATAATAAATCTTTTCTTTTCTTTCTCTTGTAGTAAAGTTGATACTTTTTTTCTGCTCAAGAAAGGTTTATTTAAATCATCATATTGTACAATCCCCGTTAGTGAAAGTATTTCCTGGCTCGAACCTTGGTTGTAAAAGTCGAGGAATTTGGGAGGGATTGCAGCATCATCACGCATAGCGTTATTGGTGACGGCAACAACACATTTACATGCAAAAGCGTGGTATAAAGTACAAACGGACAAGGACAACGGGATGAAATAATAATTATAATACAAAGAGACAATTAATCTTCTCTCGTTATAATTTCCGTTTCTTCCGGCAGTCTCGCAGTGCGATTTTATTTTGACAATTTGATAAGAACAGAGGTATTAGGTGTGCATTTCGATTAAAGAGAGACGATGGGGTTACAGAACGAAACCGCCACTACGAATTTGCGGGATGCAACACCGCTCGTTGCAATCCTGCGAGTCGCTCCTTCGAAGGGTCGTACTTCGGGGCTTCTGCAGCGGCACGATCACGTCCGAGTGCCCTCACGCGTCGTCGTCCCCGGGGATCGCACCCTCGTCTATCAGATCGTACGACGAAGTGCCGGGGCCGCGGCCGATACCGATCTTAGGCAATGCCTGGCGGCTGCTGCCGCTGATCGGCCAGTACCAAATCTCGGACGTCGGCAAGATCTCGCAGATGTTCTACGACGAGTACGGCAAAATCGTGCGGCTGGGCGGTCTGATGGGCCGCCCGGATCTGCTCTTCGTCTACGACGCCGACGAGATCGAAAAGGTGTACCGGCAAGAGGGTCCTACGCCCTTCAGGCCCGCCATGCCCTGTCTGGTGCACTATAAGAGTGTCGTACGCAAGGACTTCTTCGGCGGTTTACCCGGTGTCGTTGGCGTGTAGGTGAACAATAATTGTCGGCGAATTTTATTAAAACATGGGCCACATATGGAAAAAGCAGACCTTTCATTAATCTAATCTCGCGATGAAAGTCACGACGGTAAAATTTTTTAGAAATTAATTTCACTTGATTTAGCAAGAATAGTAAGAATCATTCTCTATTATTTTACACTTTTAAATATATAAACTGTGATAGTAAAATAAAATTTACTATGTCTCTTCAAATTATATATATATTTACTCGAAAGGTAATTTACAGAATTAGAAATGAACTAAGATATTGGGAATTTGTTAAATAAACAGAAGCGTGTGGAGTACGTGTAGAATCTCTCAGTACGACGAAACTAGAGAGTTTCGTGACCTTGGCCTCGAATTTTTATTATACTAATAATATCCTAATTTATGAAAGAGCCAGGCAAGCGGTCTTTTCATTTGCTTCGTTCATTTACTCTCAACTCATCGCGCACCAATTTGATTTCTCTCATTAGACATGGCGAGCCATGGAAAGAATTTCGTACGCGCGTCCAGAAACCTGTTCTCCAGCCGAAGACTGTGCGGAAATACATAACACCGATCGAAGTAGTTACGGAGGATTTCATAAGGAGGTAAAGGAGAGTAAACTATAAATTTCCTAAGAAGGTGAAGGAAAGGGGAATAAATCTAACATATATATTGGTAATTGTGGGCGATGTCTTTTACGTGTTGTAGAATCGAGGACATTAAAGGGGACGACGACGAGCTGCCCGGCGATTTCGATAACGAAATACATAAATGGGCTTTGGAATGTTAGTCCTTATGTAAAGTATTATCCGTTTACCTTATGTAAAGTATTAGGTACGCATTTCAAATTGAATTTAAAATACACCGCATAACTTGCTTTTTAATATTGAATTACTATTTTCACCTATTAATCGAATCGAAGCATAAATTTAAACATTAAAACGTACGTTCTTTTATCGACATTTTTTTAAATACAATTGTTTTATATTCACAGATACTGTTATAAGTTATAAATAGAAGCGTTGCATAATCTGAACCAGTAATATTAATTAACCTTCTAATCAATTTAAATAATCTAATTAATTTAAACGATCAGAGACTTCATTTTAATTTAATGTTAAATAAAAGGTATACAAATGTACGATTGTATGAAATGTAATTTAGAAAGAAAGCTTTGTAGAATTAATTATAGCTCTATTATTTCGCAATAAGTCAAGTTATCGGAACTAAAAATAAAATATATGTTTTAGAGTAAATAATTGGGGAAGAAATTTTACCTATACAGTGCGCATGTCTAAAAGGCATCTTGAAGGCGTCTTTAAGTCGTCTTTTAGATATGTATGTCTACAAAGATGCCTTTTAGACATGCGTGCTCTATGGATTAGAGTCAACATACATATAAATCGGAATAAAATGCACGTGTTTTTTTTTTCTTATATTTCACAATACGGATAGCGAAGTGTTGCTTGGTTGTGATCACTGTCCATCTGTTTCTTACATCATGATATGGATATATCTGACTATAAAATCACTGACATTTAAGATTTCTGTACATTTATATACGAACACGATTCATTTCACAGAGAGGGAGAGAGAGAGAAAGAAAGAGAAATTATTTATTTATTACAATTCTCGCCGGGAAAATTCGTCTCGAGTTTCTCGTTTTCGCTGTTAGTACGTGCAACAACGTGGCATTTACTACGCACTATGAATTATGCATTTGTCGGGCAGGTATTGGCCGTGTGGCGCTCGATGTCAGACTCGGGTGCTTAGGAGAAACATTGACTTCAGATTCCGAGCCGCAAAAGATTATCGATGCCGCGAAATTCGCACTGAGAAATGTTGCTTCGCTCGAACTTAAAGCCCCGTACTGGAGATACATCCCGACGCCCCTCTGGAGCCGTTACGTGCGCAATATGAATTATTTCATCGAGTAAGTTTAAAAAGGGCACTTTTCCACATAACAGAAAATCTTGTAAAAGAGATATTTATCTAGACTAGGGAAATAATAAAAATAAAAAGAAAATAACTTGAGAAAATGACTCGTCGTTCGATGTCGAGTCATTTCTCGCTGGGTTGCTTTAATTTCTGGGATTAGTTTGGTAGTAATTTGAATTCTCCTTGTTCACTTATATTAATTCTCATCAGGTGGGCTTGGAAAATAAAAGACTGGGAAAGAAATAAATTCCTTAGGATTTAGACAATTTTTAAAATTCGATATTAAATTTAATGGTCCTTTGATATCTGTTTTTTATGTCTAATTATTGTAATTTTCCCGAGATATGAGATTGGGAAACAAGTAACGTTCTTATCTGGAATTTAGATGATCTTTTATTTAAAGATTCAGAGAAGTCTTATCTCATAAAATCTGAAATTAGTTTAATGGTCACTGAATCTCCTTTCTCTCTTATCCGGCCGTCGTAATTGTTATGAGGCGAGACTCAGAAACAACGAAATCCGGAAAATAAATTCCTTACTTGAGATTGAGACAAGTGAAAGCGAACTCTTTTCTTCTTCTTACTTTATTAGCTCACTTAGCGTATACATGTTTGGAAATAGAAAGTTGTTACGGAAAATCGTTGGCACGGAAAAAGATCCATTTTAGAGCCATTATCCGATTTCGTAATATCTAATTAAATGCTCGATGTTACATCTTTTTCCAACTTAATTCGATTAGCAGCTAGCTTGATGATGATTCACTCCCGAAACGCAACCGAGTGGTTCACGGCGCGTGACAATGTATGTTTCACTTTAGGATATGCATGAAGTACATCGACGCCGCGATGGTCAGGCTTAAAAGTAAGAGAGCCGTGGACGAGAGCGACTTGTCGCTGATAGAGCGAATTTTGGCCAAAGAGACAGACCCTAAGATAGCGTACATCTTCGCTCTCGATCTAATATTGGTCGGCATTGACACGGCAAGTCGCACACTATCGTAAATTATAATAATACAACTGCTGCAATCTTTGTCTATTCCCGAAATTACAGTTGCTATAAATTAGACGCGTAGACGATATCATAATTAGAAGTGTGACATATATGGTGTATATTGTAGATATCGATGGCGGTGTGTTCGATATTGTATCAATTAGCGACAAGACCGGAAGAGCAGGAAAAGATTCATCAAGAGCTCTTGCAAATACTGCCGGACCCGTCCGTTTCTCTTACAACGAGCCATCTGGATCAAGCAATCTACATGAAAGCCTTCATCCGGGAAGTGTTTAGGTAATATTAAACGTCACAGTATTAATAAACTTGGACAATAATTAGACGGCTTATTCATTACAGGTAATTTAACTTTTTTATATATGCTGATGGTAGCCTGATTTTGTAAATACAAAGATCTCGTGTGCGCTGTTTCAGAGTGTACTCCACTGTCATTGGAAACGGTAGAACGTTGCAGAACGACACCGTCATTTGCGGCTATAAAATTCCAAAAGGAGTACGTAGCATATCTTACTTTTGCATCCCTCTACCCCTCAAGCCTTTATTAATTTTATTCTTCATACTAACATTAACATGATTTCAGGTTCAAGTCGTGTTCCCAACGCTCGTCACCGGCAATATGGAGGAATATGTCGCAGACGCGAAGACGTTCAAGCCTGCGAGATGGTTGAAAGATACTGACAACGAGAATCTGCATCCCTTCGCGTCGCTGCCATTCGGTTACGGAGCACGGATGTGCCTGGGCAGACGATTCGCGGATCTCGAGATGCAAGTGCTTCTCGCGAAGGTACAACATGTTACAAATGTTCTTATCTATTAATTTAGCTTAGTTTTTAAGTCTAATTTTACTTGGACTTATAAACATTACGCACTAACGATGTACAGCACGTATTATAATGTCATCACGAGATTATTTTTAGCTTCTGAGATCGTACAAACTGGAGTACCACCACAAGCCGCTGAAATATAACGTCACGTTCATGTACGCGCCCGATGGAGAACTCAAATTTAAAGTAATAAAAAGATAACACTCCACAAGTCATGCAATACTGTAAAATAAATGTAAAGTAGCACGTTAAAACGTAGAAAATATCGCAAGATTTGCACATTAATGCTGATGAAAAAACAATTCTAATTGTTACATTATAATATAGTAACGTCCAATTATATTACAAACATGACTTAATTTCACAAGCATATATTTTATAAGTAAATGCTTTGTAATATTAGTTTACATTAACGTACAACTTGTGTAGTGCAATTATCTAGTTGCATGTAAAGTTGCTTTCAGGAAACCAAATACAGAATTATGCAAAACTACGTCCATATATGTGTAAGAAGAAAGCTTATAAGTACGGATAATATTTTTTACTACATTCCTTTTCTCTGCCATTAGAGAAAAGTTATTAAAGATATTATTATCTCTCGATAAATCTTAGCTTCAACGGTCCCTTCGGCGTGTACATTGGATTAATGTAATACTCCAATTTTTCATGGTGATATTCTATTTTATAAAACTGAAGTATCTGAAACAGAAAAAACATTTAACATTATCAGTGGTGATCGTGAATTTAATAATATTGTTTACTAATTTTTTTCTCTCTTTCATTTACATTAGAAGTACACTTGAAAAAAGACAAAATGTAACATCAGGAGACAAGAATTCGTACATTGTCCGTGGGAACAAGCCATTACTCTCTAGCAATGTCGGTAATTTCTAGTATACATATAATGCGATTCTTTATCTCAAGAGTTGCTGTACTACAATATAAATACGGTAGAGCACCGTGTTTTCTGATATATATATATATATATTGTATAATATATCATTATGGTCAGTTGTGTATGTACGAGTTTAAGATCATGTTAAGTGATCAAATATATCACTTTACTAATTGTTAGATTTACTTGTAAAAGTAAATTACACATTTATCCAACTCTCTAAGTGTTCTCTAACTAATACTAGCCTTCTACATAGGAAAATAATTATTCTAAAAAATTGACTGCTTTATTTATACAACGCACTGTATACATTTGCTGTTACTTTGGGAAATATGGTGTGGTCCAAAGCAAAGGCAATTTGCCGACAAAAGTATCGGTATTTTTTACAGTTTAGGAATAATTTGCAAAAGTGATACTATGTATACCCGAAAGTATTTCACCTCTTTTGAATCACTGTAAGATTTTGCGGTAAAAGACATGTTATTCGATTTCGGCCAAACGGAGAAAGCTCTTAATACGATACGAAAATGACAACAGTGTAACGCTTTGTTGACATCAATAACTACGAGATTAGCAGAGAATTGCCATAACAAGTACTTTGCAAAATTACAGTTGTAAGACCCACAATCTACGCTTATTTCTACAACAGGTTGTAGTCGCAGGATTGTGTTGTACCTATAAGCGGCTTCTTATACTTACAACACCGTGAAAACTCTTATTGTTAGCGTTATTAATTATTCTTACCGTAAAATAGCAATAAATATAATTAAAATATAATAATCATAGAGATATTTATGTCAAACAAGATGTAACTTAATTGTGATTGTTAATTGCAGAATTGACTTCACATCTACCAGAAAGAGTTTATCGTTAAAGTAAAAATTGTTGAATTCCCTTAAATTTTTACACAATACCTTACATTTTCAAATCTACAATTACCCGAAGAAAATAAGTCGGCGGTCCAATCAGTGAGAAGAATAGCGAAAATTGTTTCCTCTATAAACCTTTAACACACCTGCAACAATTACAGGTTGCCTCTCACCTTGCTAATGACGATAATTATCTCGAGCTCGGCAAATCGTCGTCCCAAGCACATTCGTCTACCGTAACCGAAAGGAAGCGAGGCAAACGCGTGACGGACACCGCCGTCGTCGTGTAACCATCGTTCCGGAAGGAACTCGTCACTTCGCGGAAAATACTTTTCCAGATTGCTAATGACATAGTGTTGAAACACCACGTGCACCTGAAAACAATTACCAGTCTTGATTAAGATTCGCTTTTTTTTTCGCTATCCCCGGATCCTCATCGACTGATTAACGTTAACAAATTTAATTCTGAATAATTGCCAGCACTTCCTAACTTTATTTTATCTTTAGAATCTCTTAAATTAATAATTGCATATCATATTTTCGTTTAAATTGCCATCAACATCAATTGCATTGTACTGATTTATAACTGTCAGATTTTAATTGGAGAAAGTTCTCTCTCTCTTTTTGTCTCTTACTCCTTTCGGTACGCGATAGCCGCCGATTATAATATCCGAGGTTGTACTTCGCCCGTTGCCTATGACAACTGGATACATTCTAAATCAAATAGAGACATAAGTCGTAAAATACACGCCAATAATTGCCGACAATATGAGTCATTCGTAAGCAGCGCTAATTTTATTGCAAAACAATGGATTAGAGTCACACGTGCATGTATCGGTTATCCACTCGGATCTTCACGAACCTTAGAGTTTCCTTGATGCACGCCTTCAAGTATTTTAAATTGTCGATATTTGTCACCTCTAGAGGCGTGTCCCGTTGCGGGAGAACGTTGCAGATTTCATCATACGCTGAAGCCTGTTTCTCCGGATGTAGCGCTAACTGATAGAGCACCGAGGCTACCGCGGTTGATGTCTGCAAATAGCTTGACTCTATAACATTTGTATGCGAATCATTTAATGGAAAAATTCAAATTATAAAATATTTACCGTATCAACGCCAACTAAAAACAAATCTAATGCGAGGATAGAGGCCACTTTCGTATCGCCCTCGCGGGCTAAAACTCTCTCCAAGAGAGACAGCTCTTTGTCCGAATCCACGTTGCTCTTGGTCCTTGACAGAGCGGCGGCCGTGTATTTCGATATGGTACTAAAATATTTCCAAATACCACTTACACATGTGCTTGCATTTACATTATTTGCATTATTTATAATATACGCGGGACAACAAAAACTTTCAACCGCCGTTATTTTGTAATCAAATAAAGAAAAACAAGACGCAGTTGCAAAGAGAGTTAAATTGAAAATTAAACGACGCGTCACTTGACTCTTATTATCATTTAAAATTTTTAAAGCTACTCTAATGAAGGAGATGAGGAAGTATGGATTTTATCACAAATATCTTCCTTAAAAAAACAAAATTGGTTTACGTTTCGATTGAGATTTTACCTCACAATAATATCCAAAGAATTTACGTATTGTTGCCACCTGGGTGTGTTGAAAAGTTTCCAAAAAGGTATCTTTAGTTCGAGCACAGGCACGTTTTTGAAGAACGTAATCAGGGCGTCTATAAGCCTCTGTGTTTCTGCGTTCGCGTCATCGTCCAAGCAACCCAAGCGCACATCCAACGCGATCCGTGCAATAGCTGTCAAGTTATTAGCAGCGAAATTATTTATTAACTTCGTTTATCTACATTAAAATGCAAATTTGTACAAAATTATTTACCACGTTCTACGAATCTGTTTTCAATGAGTAAAAATTCTTGGGAAAGGTTAACGATGATTTTTTTTTAATGCAAAACTAATATTTGTATGCGCATTATAAGTTTTATTTAATTCTAATTTTATTCGGCAAACTTTCGCTATCTTCCTTACACATCTCGACGATTTTATCCCCTTGAAACTTTCTCCACTTTTTTTAGAGGGAAATTCTTCAGATGCTTCAACCTCGGAAAGAACCCAAATATTCTTACGAATCGACACTTGTTAATTCTCTTTTCCGTTGCTTAAATTCTTTCCCCTTACTTACATTCCAAAGACCATTTGTGCATCTCATTGAGAAAGTTGTCGGGCACCTCGTGGTTTCGATCCCGTATCTTTGCTATTCTACAAAATGACGAGGGAATAAGTCACTTTACGATAGTTAAGTGGGACGCAGACATAGTAGGCGGGCAAAAAGTGAAAGTTGAACGACTCAAAAAACGTTAGATATTATTGTCTTCACTAAAAGCAGGGTTTACGAAGTAATAAATTCGGCGAACCTGCGAAGGAGTGCCATGCTCGCTTCTTCAATCGCCCCGATATACATTCTCGCGATCCGCGGCTGCAGCATCACCTGCTGTACCTTGCTTCGGAAATTATACCAACTCTCACCGTGGCTGTAACATGGAGAGAAAAGATAAATCAAGGTATAACAGCTGCCATTCTTCCATCTGCCAAATGGAGGACGACATTTCACCTTGAGAGCGTCGAGCAATAGAAACTGAACGACGCTTGCGAAACGAAAATGATTTGAAATATAAACGAAATATTTTAGCTGTATTACAGATTAGGAATATGTTTCAGTTGTTATATTTAATAGATGCACGAATTATTGAATTACATAATTTTGTATGCCAAGATAAATTATAAAATCATAACTTAGAAATGTAAAATCAATTTATGTCTTAATAAATTATGATACTTTGTTAAGAAAAAAACAAATACAATTTAATATCAGTAAGTAATTTACAGCATATTATAAATAACATTAGTAAATAACATAAAGAATCATTTGACATCGATACATGAGTAACCAATGTAGAAAAATTGCTAAACGATGTAACTGGCAAATTCTAATGAGAGAAATTTATTGCGAAAAAGTAGGGAAGTTCAAGTCTGAATTGGCTGAGGTAATATTTTTCGCAATAAATTTCTCTAATTAGAATTTGCCAGTTGCGTCATTTAGCAATTTTTCAACATTAGTAAATTATATAAAAGTAAATTTTTATTTTATTCTTTCATCTGCAAATAATCCATTTAACAAAAGAATTAACAATATAAAAATATATTTGGCAAGAGGAATAAAGAAGCTTGATTTTTAAGGACTCATCTCATCAGAACTTTCAAGGTCTTTTACTCAACCGGCTCCTCTTTGAATTGCAAATTAAATTTTACGAAATATCTCTCCAGCTTCAATTTACATCAAGCACTTAAGTGTCTCTGTTAAATCCGGTTGACCATGGCATTATAGAATCTATCGTTGATCATAAAAACTAGGTGGAAGGATTGATTAAACACCTCACAAGCACTATAATTCCTTGCTAAGAAATTTTATTTTTACTTTCTTTAAAAATAAGTCAGAACTCTGTACTTTTAATGCTAATGCTCGACGCTCATTTTTAACGTCAATAGAGTATGCGATCTAAATTAACACAAGATAATGAAAAACGTAAAGGCTAAAGATGTGGTCAAATGTTCTTATGTAAATTGCAAATAAAAAATGCGTATTTTAATACTGCAATAGGAACAATTCTAAGAGCGTAGATTTTGAAATGTGGCTTACACAGCAATGACACCTGGATTATCCAGAAAGAAATCCTTTCGCAGTACATGTTTGTAATAATCAAGCGACGGCATGGAAGGTCGATGAGGCATTTTTTCTTCCCGTCGGAAAATTCGCTCAATTTCATTCGCGTCGTACACGAAGACCATGTCGGGCCTACCTAAAAGGCCTTCTATCTTTACGATGTTGCCATACTGAGCGTGCAGTCTTTTTGACAGTTTGTCTATCGCCTGTATATCGAAGTTTCCTGAAATGTAATTTTTTAATATACATACATTATGCATAATGTCCCGTATTTTAAACAGTCCAACCGAATATCTCGAAAACTGAACCCAGCAAGCATGTTGTATGCAAGTCAGAAGGGAGACAAATAATAGCAAAATTTTATGTCTGTATTTTAAAACGAATCTTCGTCTCTTTGTATTTTTTTTATTTCTTTATTTAAAAAGTCCTGATAAAATGTTTATTACAAGCGAAGACTGCCATGTGTCAGCTTGTAGGCTTACTCAAAAAATAAAGAGACTGCATACATGCTGCTCGTGGAATATTTGTTCTTAAAATTATGTAGTTGCTATATAAATGACGAATGTGTTTGATTATGAAATTTACAGTGCGAGTCTTTTCGTATTTGATGTAATTATAATTCGTATTGCTGTGTACGTGTATACTTAAAATTTCTAAGTAAAATGTTTTCAAATCAAATACTCATGGTGCAAAGTCAATAATATTTATGATGCGTGGTGCGGTCCATTAGCAATTTTATCGGCACTAATTGTAAGCAAACAGACGGATACTCATACACCTTAATATGCAGAATTTAGGAAAAAATTATTATATAATTACAATGTACAATATTCTTATCTCTTTGTTGTAACTTTAAAAGAAAGATAACGAACAAATAATTATATTCAAATTAACATTAAAAATTTTGATGAAACTTTTCACTGATATACCAAACATTCTTGAAATAATATTTGATTTAAATTTCTCCCACACTTCAGACAAATTACATAATCAATGAAATATTAAATAAATATAAATGGAGACGTAATCAGGCGCATTAATGATGATTTCCGCATTCATAAGAATACCTCACGATATATGATTCGTCGATTCTTTTCGTTATCTTCGTTCTTCGAGTTGTATGGAAAAACTACACCACATTCTTCTGAAACTATCTCTTTCAGCGAAGAATGCAATGAGAATTAAATTAACGCAAGCAAAACATACAAAGAGTTAATTAATAAACGAAAAGGTAAATCTTTTGAAATACTGACGAAAAAGATGCAAACGATACAAATTATGTGTACACACAGCGAATCGAAGGTGCTAATTCTTCTCTCTTCTTCTTACTTTCCTCCTTCTACTTTTATTAGTACATTCTTTTCATAATTATCATCTTCACTTATTAGGATATATAGCACGCTTTCACTTTCTTATATTCGCTCCATGTTTTTCGATGGACCAATTGTCAGTTATCATAAAAACTTCCGAGTGCATACCTAACTTAGCTTATTTCGTTTTCTGTAGAAACTTACCACGGACGAGAGTACATGATAATAGTTTTCAATAAAAACTGGATTTACGACTCGGTAATTGTTGTGCCGTAAATTATGTTGTTTCTGAGAGAAAGATAGATTTATTTCATAAGTAAAATAAGAAACAGAGATGTGTGTACGTTTCATTGACTCGACCATTTGCAAAATCAAAATAATTGTACAACTAATAAAAATGTCCATCTTTCAACTTCACAAATTTCCCCACACGGTTTTCACTTTCGTAGCGTGCACAACTTCAATATCGACACTGTCTTCATCAAATTATTTGGTAGAACCTCGATATCTTGGTGAGATTTAGAACAAGTAGTCTTCTCTGAAATTTAGCCGAAAAGACTCTGTTCTTACCGAAATATCGAGACTCTGAAGGCTGATCTGCTGAAGATATCTATGAGCTGCAAGAGCACGACTGTTTAAAAAAATTTATTAAAAAAACTGTTAAAGACTAATGTTGTATCTTTTTTTCTTGCGCATTTCATAGTAATATCAGTACGACCTTGAATAGCTTTATCAAGGTTAGCTAAAGATCACCTTGAAATTTTTATATGGATCCCTCCTTTTTCATTACATATTCTTGTAGCTTATTTCAATAGCTTTCCAAAACGCTATAATAAATTATGTTTGCGTTAAGTACTTTTTGAGTTATGAGGTTTGTAAGTTACGATACTTCTAGCATTATCCCTGAATAACTTTTAAAATTTCCAAGATAGGATTTGAACACCATCCCTGATGTTCGATTTAATTGCGTCACATATACAACACACACACGCGCGCTCACGCATGCACGCACGCACGCACGCGCAAGCGCACGCACACGCATACACACACACACACACAGATGGTATCCTTCAGGACCGTTAGTAATTATTACGCAAATCGTGTAGAACTATTTTGTATATATAATTAGAAAAAAGTAAAGTAAAGTAAAGTGTGCAAATTAGAAATTTGCACATGGCTTCCTCATAGAGACGATTCATGATGACGAGGTAATATCCAAATTTCCAATTTGCATTTTTACAAGTTAGAATGGGCAATGTCCAAAGTTTTAATTTGCACATTAACTCACAAAGCTTCCTCTATGAGGAAGCCAAATTTGAATAGACAACTTGCTAAAATGTTAATGTTGCATTTTGCAAATTTCCAATTTGCACCTTATAAATAAAAAACAACTTGCCAAAATGCTGATGCCGCGTTTTGCAAATTTAAAATTTGCACCTTTAAAATAAAAAAATAGTCTAGATGTTGAGGAAGCAATGTGCAAATTTCCAATTTGTTGTACCTATGAAAGGTAGAAACCGCCAAGTGTTGCCTAACAAGGGAATTGGTTTAGGTCCTGGGATATCCGAGTACGGGCGATGTCGCAACAAACCCTGTCCCTCGACATCCACAGCTAGCGTGTCTAACGCTCTATCGGTTTTCGTGTCAATTCTAACGAACCGACGCAACAGCCACCTTGCATGTTGTCTCAACGTCATCATTTGTGGTCTGTGCAATAAAAAGAGTTACAAAGTAACTACTTAAATCTAGGCTAAAATAATATTTGCGTAACTCTAAACACGCACATTAAGAAAGTGGACAGTTCGAGGAGCTGGCGCAGAGTTCAAGGAACTAGATATCTGAAAAATAAAATAAGTAAATTAGTAAAATAAATAAGCAAATTCAATTTCTTCCTTCCGACATTATGCTACGGCTAAGACAACAAAAATCCTCACGTGTATTCTCCTGACATATTTTTACATGTGCATTTGTATATTTATAGCATTGTATAAAATTTACTTAAACTCTCACATTTCTATCTCTGAGAATCTTACAAAGATTTTTGTTAGCAACAATATTTTTTCCATTTTCATTTTCAATAAAATATTGTCATATGTTTTATTATATGCATTTTCTAAATTTGCTCTTGTATGTTTTTTTACATTTTGATTGCTTTATACAGTTAACAATTACGTACAATGTAGGTTTTATTCGAATGGCTGTTTCAGCTTAAAAGCATCCTTCGCTTAGGCTTCAGAAAATTTGCACGCAAATGTGGCGTGCTACAAACATAGACAATCGGTTTTGCATAGCAAATGTAATACATGACATAATAAGTGAAGTGTAATGCGACATTCTTGCGCGGAAAGATGTATGCTTTGGTATTGGACGTATGTATCTGAGCGTAAAGTACTAATTTCGAGCACTTTCGCAAAGGTGGGCGGATAAGGAATGAGTCAAGCCTAAATTATAACTCAGACAGAAAGTGATATTTTCAGTTTCTGAATTCATTACATGACTAAATTGGTTACATTCCATACTTTCTAAAGCTGCATATATTACTACACAAATCTCTGTATTTTGTATATATTAATTTTAATTTCTTTCTTCCGATATTATACTGCGGCTAAGACAACAAAAATCAACCATAGAAATCTCTTTAAGTTGCCAGCCATCGTCGTCGAATAAGACAGAGTCGAGTTATAAAATGTATGTATACGTGTGAGTACTGTGGTAGCTGGGGTCGAACTAATTTGTTAGTCATGTCTTAAGAACAATACAAGGTGACGCGAACTAAATAGTTTACGACTCTGTCCTAAATCCTTTTTACTTATTAACCTACATTGTTCTTAACTGCGTTGTTGTTGTTGTTGTTGATTTGCAGTATCACTCGAAAAGGACCCAAAAGAAACGGGGTCGAAACGGTGTGTGTAACAAACTAATTAAATAACTAGCCAGTTGGGTTGACCATAAGTTTCCCGTCTCAATTTTTAATCATTACTGGTGACAATAAGCAAACTCACCTCTCGTTTATATGAAATGTTGTCAAAACCTCTCTTCTCTTAATAAAATATGTAATTAATTGGACACATCTATCGAAGTAGAATGCTGAAATAAAAAGTAAAGATGTAACGAGTAACGTGACAATTCGTTTCAAGAGAAATCGTGAAGTTGGTAAACCATCAACTGTGAAATTTACAATTCCTGCTTACGATGCGTTCACTGCACCGTAGATTGTCGTAACTTTCCCAGATCGTCGCAATTGCAATTTAGGCGGGCAAGCAGTTAATGATGCATGTCACGAAAATGCATTCGCGGCGGTGTATTACCAAAGGCACAACAAGAATGAAAAATATACTCGGTTTTAAACGCACCCTCTAAATATAATTAAATTAATGTACTGATTTTAAGAAAAATAATTCAAGTCAAAGTTTCACAGATCTTAAGGAGAAAATTTTTATACTTATATTGTGAAATATGACCGTTATTAATATGTTTTAGTGGTACTATGTTATTTTCTTATGATATGACTCCTCTAGTCATTCTTCATAAATGTAATAAAATTGAAAAATCAGTAGCTCATGGAATATTTTTGATACGCATATGTTCACATAAAAAACACCAATTATAATTTTATCTCATAAAGGTTTAAATTTATGTTGCAATGTTTAATTTTTGATGACTTTAATATTTTTATGCACAATATAATGAGATAAGTTAATTGCTGTAAACAAATTTACAACTGTATTTACAAAAGTATACAACTAAACATCGTAAATTGTGTATTATCGTAAATTAAATATTATTGTACACACATTAAGTATTATATTTCTTCTAGAAAGTGTAATACAAAATTTAGATTTGTCAACGATATAATTTTACTAAATAAAATGATGTAAAATAATTAATATTTCATTCCTACAAAAAATTCTATTGTAAAATCAATTGTAGTCGAAGAAGACATATACAAAGACCAAAAACTTATATACTAGAAAAGTTAAGAAAACTAATAGAAGAAATTAGAAAATTGCTGAAAATATGGTCTTTCATAAATTTAATACAGCAAAAGGATGTATTAAAAAAAATGATTTTAATAACTTTTTTAAAAGTTGATTCTTTTCGATTTTTAATCTTTTTTCTTACAACGATATTATTATAATTTTCACCTTTTCTAAGTAATAAAACGTTTAATCTCGCATTAAATAATCACAAAAATCATGTGGCAAATTTCGGTTTTGCGTTTGCAAATTTGCTAAATTAAATATATGAGCACATATTTTCAAGTTACGTACAATCATACGTTAACCTACTATAGTTTGTGCAGTTGGAGATAGATTTGTAAAGACCTTACCTCTTCAAAATGACACGTATGTACACACGAAAAAACCATGAACTGACTGAGACCGTCCTGCCATGCTTCGCGCTCAAGTATCTGATATTGAAAGATGTTTGACAGAAAACTGCTCGCAAGAGTGGGAGAGCGAATACAAGGAGGGGTAATATCGTGGTAACAGGCACGTATTCGCGGATACATTGGAAGAGAGGAAGAACTAAAATACACATAAGTCTTATAATTATTCAGTTTTAACAAGTTGATTGAATACGGGTAAAAATAACAGGAATTAGAAAGTAAATGATTAACGGTAAAGAAAAAAATTGTCAATAATTGTTTTGGCTTGTATATTACAGAATACATATGTTACATACGATATGTACTAAACAATCGAATATTCATATTATTCTTAAATATTATTAAATTTGTTTTACCGTATATTAAGACCCGCTCGAAGATTCATACCATTTCGATTGTTTCAAATTAATTCCTTTCAATTTGTTTCTATAATTATTTAGAATCTTATTAAAGTTTGCATCATCTGCGTTAAATTTCTTCGTTTGTTTCATCTAGAAAAAAAAGTCACATTAGAGGTACGTTATAAAGAAAAAGAAAGGCAGAAATAAATTCAGAAGTTCGTCATAATTAAATGTTGAGTAACAATAGAATAATATCTTACTGGCTTATTGTCCTTTCTTTTCTGGGCTTTTTCTTTCTTTATAATTTCCAATTGTTTAGTTGCTTTATTCAATTTCTTCTGCTTCTTTAGAGTCTGCGTGTGTAATTCGCCTTGTGACTTGAGATTGAATTTTGATCTTAATTTATCCTGGCCTAATTTGCTGGTCAAGCCAGCATACAGTTTTTCCTCTGTATCATTTGATTTTCTGACTTTAACTCGTTTAGCTGGAACTTCCTTCTTGGTGTCATCTTCATTTTTCCTTTTATTTTTATTTCCAGGCCACAAGGGATTGCTGTCACGACTTTTCTGAATTCTTCTTTCCTTCGCGTTTACCAAGATACGATTCTCTATCGAGAATCCAACTATAGGTCTCTATCAAATTTAGAAACTCTTATATACATATACATACATATGACGTAAAAAATGATTAGTGATTAAAATAAATTTATAATCTTACTCGACTTTTGGAAAATATATTTGGATTGTTGTTTATACTTCTCAAAGCTTTAAGCGCGTCTTCATGAGTGGTAAACGCAACGAAACCATACTCCTTCGACTTTCCGTTACCACTCGCGTCAATATTTTTCAAATCGCGCATAACTCGGGCCTTAAAAATTTCAAATAAAGTTTAACGCTTATATAATTTCAAGTGCAATTAGGGACGTAATACCTGTATTATTTTGAATAACATTACCTCTCTAATTATAGCCTTAGGACCACTGTGATTTTTAAACAATTGTCTAAGTTTTGCGTCATCCAAATTGGGAGGTAAATTATGAACAGCCAGTCGCACCCGCGATACGAACATATTTAAGTTACGCAACATCTGCGACTTCCATTGCTCTAACTTGAGACGTTTTTGCATATCGGATACCGATACTTCCTCCGCAGCTGAACTTTTGGCCAGCACAACTGGAAATCAACAACAGCGATGTTAAAATTGCGTTACGTAACATAATAACATTAGCAATCAGATCATTACCCCCTTCCTTAATGAGATATAAATTCCTAGAGTCTTTTATCCGTTTTTCCTTTAAACTCTTTTTATCTTCAACGTCTTTTCTGTGTAATGCTTTGTGGGCCTCGATTATTTGATCCCGTAGACGTAAGTTGGTACCAGCCGACAAACATTTTTCGGCATCTTCAACATGCTACAATAAAGTGTTTCTGATATAAACATGACAAACAAGTTTGAACTGTAAAAGAATTTAGAATATGCATCCGAAGATAAATTCCTACCCGAAACTTAACAAATGCAGTGCCTCTAGAATATTCGGTTAGAGGATCCATGCACACAAGAGCATAATAGACCGGTCCAAATTGCTCCATGTACTTTTGAAGTTCCTCATTTTTAACAGAGAATGGCAGGTTCTTTAGAAAAACTGTTTTCCCTTCATTAACATCATTAGACACTCGACTTGGACGTTTTGTAAATTTAGAACTCCCTTCCTCATCACTGTCATCTTCCGTCTTAATAATCTTCACATCAACGTCACTTTCATCGTTATTGTCATCACTTTCATCTTCGGTATCCTCTGTTTCATGCACTTTTTCTTCTTCTTCATCAGATTCTTCTTTTATACTGTCCATCGTAACGTCTCTGGAATTACAAAATTATTAGAAGAAAAAGAGAAAGAGAAAAAGAATAATTATTCAGAGAAAGTATTTTGCAACAAACGTTTTGGAAAATAAATGTACATATTTTTTACTTTGTTTAGATGATATTCATTTACATTCTAGCACAATTGAAACTTTTAGATACCTATCTGATTCAGGATCTGAATCACCGACTTTATTCTCACTGCTATGAGATGCATTTATGTCCGTAGTATTCTGCACTTCGTCTTCGTCAATAGGTTCAGTTTTGATTTCCGGTTTCACGTCTGCGCTGGTTTGGGAAAATTTTGTTTTAGGAACAGCCCAGTCGACAATCATAGGCCTGTTTAAAAGAAGTTCCATATTCGCGTAATGTATAGCCTTTGCAGCATTTTGTACACGGTTAAATTGCAAGAACGCAACTCCAGTCTGTTTACCATCGGGTCTGGTTAAAATCTTTATCTCTTCTATCTCACCATATTGAGAAAAATGTTCCCTCAAATTATCGTCCGTAACCTATAAAGAGATTGAACTGCCAAATGAAAAGAAAACTATTGAAAGAAGATCTTTCTTGGCGCTTAACAAATACCTGGAAAGCTAAATTCCTTATTACAACCCTAGCTCGTTTCTTCTGTTTCGTTAACTTATGAAGTTTTCTCCTCCTTTGATTCTTCAAATTATTCTTCTCCTTTGCAATCTTTTTCCGAGCAATACTATCGTCAGCGTCTTCTTTCTGAGCGTCCTGAGGAGACTGTCCTTCGTCGTCAGCGACGTGCGTTTCCTGATTTTCAGCAAGACCTTTTTCAAATTTCTCACAGAATTTGGATTTTGGTATAGCCCAGTTACTGCTTATATTCCTTCCTGGAATCAACGTCGCATGTTACATTAAAGTCACACTCTTTTTTAAACAGCAAAAGCCCCATTCTATAAATACCAAGAAACTCCTTTTTATTGGTGTTAAATATCGCTCTTGAAGCATCTTCGACACGTTTGAAGCTTACAAAACCGCAACCTACTGGGTTTCCATCAGGACGCTTTAGAAGGTTTACTTCTCTGATTTGACCAAATGGCTCGTACAGCCTTCTAACGTCCTCTTCTGTCGCCTGAGAATACGTAATTGTCACATGATAAATTAATCCAGGTCCAAAGAAAGCAAGAATATGAATAATGAAGAAATGTGTTAGCAGGTTCACGTGGAATACTATCCTTCTTACTAAAATTAAAATGCATTTGCTGCTTCTACCTCATATCGAATGAGATATTCCTACACGTACCTTGAAAGGTAAATTCCTCACGATTATTCGAGAATTCTGACCATTTTCATCCGCAGTGTCAGTTATTTTCGCCTCGGGATTTTGCGCCTTTCTCAACTTCGCCTTCTTTCGATACATCCAAGACAATTTCTTCTTCCCCATGTCGTTTCTTTGACCTAAGCGACGCAAATCACGTAATTACGTCAACTGAATTAAATCACCACCTTGCAGCGAGCCGTTAGAATCCTTACCGTAAAGTGGTCTGCCCATTTTCACGTGAATCGATCACGGATACAGGCTGCGAATTGTAAAGCTTGCAGTAAGCAGATTTACAATTCACAAACACGAGGTAACCAAATCGCTTCCTTCTCTTCGCCGCGTCCCACCAAATGGCGAAGCTAACGTGATCGGGCTACGTAACACATGTATATATTTTATATTCCACGCAATTTTTTACTTAAACTATTCCTCCTATCTTCTTAATAAAACGCTAAACATAATGTAACGCTAAACTTTCTCCCTTTGGCTTGGAATGCTTCTAACTGTATCAAGTATTATATTATATTTGTATCTAGACGCAAGCTTAAATCTCCCTTCTCGATTATTATATCATAATGTCCTGCCTGTCTTCGGAATAAAGTTGTTCGAGTCCAAGCGTTTTATTCCCTCTTCTCCCAACCAGCTCCACACGCAATCCGCACGGGAAGAAATTCTAGTTAGGTTAGGACAGTCACCGCGCGCGACCGCGTGCGTCCGCCGAGCTCTCGAGGACAACAGTCGACAATCGACAATCGCTATTCGATACCGCAGCTCTCGAGCACGATATATCGACACATCCTCGACCCTCGCAGTGTACTCCGTGTTCGCTGTGTAATCCGACGATTTCGAAAACGTTCCCCGTGAAAAGCGCAAACGAGCGCGGTTGCTCAGAAGAGAAAGAAAAAGAAACAGGACAACGGCGTTAATGTTTCGGCGGAGGACAGCCGGGGGGCGGAGGGAAAATCTCGAGGCGGGATCTCGAACCCCCCGGGGGTTTTCGAAGGCGCCGCGGCGCCGGTGGCGCCGGCGCCACCGCGGCGGCGGCTTCGCGCGTCGCGGGCCGCGGCGCGCCAGCGGAATCGATATCGCGCGCTTCGATAGTACCGGAGTATGGCCGAAGGCGGACTCTCATGTCCGCCAAAGACAAAATAGCGTGCAACGGCAGCAGCAGCGGACGCGACAGCAGTGCAGCAGCATCAGCCGCGGCATTATTATGCCCGAGTCAAAGGTGTTCTATTGCCTGCTCCTGTTGACGCTATTGGACGCGACGTCACAAATCCGGCCGTCGTTGCACGGCCACAACAATGGTGAGTTTCTCTCTCTCTCTCCTCGCGCGCGCGCTCTCTCTCTCACTCTCTCTCTCTTTCTCCGTCTCTTCCCCTCGCGACTATTTCGATGCAGCCGATCCGCATTCAACAATAACAATCGGCACGCGCGCGCGCGCGCACACACACACGCACGCGACCCACGGCGGGGCGCCATAAGGCCCCTGGGTCACCGCATCCCTGGCCTGAGAGCCTTCGCGACCCCGCGCCGATATCAACGGCGATATACCCAGTGCGGCGATGAAGGTCACACGCCGCGCCGCCGAGAGCTTCGCGCGCGCCAAGCGCCGTCACGCGATCCGCGTCCCGGCGAAGCGTGCTCTCTTTCTCTCTCTCTCTCTCTCTCGCTGTCTCTCCCTTTCGTGCTCTCTTTCTCCCGGCCGTTCCCGTCTTACGTTCCCCGAATTTCTCGGAGAAATTGCCGCGGCGGCGACAAAGGGGAATGATATAACCTCGGCGCTGCCTGTCACGAAACGTGTTTACGTTGCGCGCGACGGAGTCCGCGCGTCACGGAGTCGTCGCCTCCGCGAATCGGAGTCGGATAACGTTTGTCGCGATGCCAGATTAATTTTAAAACGAAAACGGCACGGGTGTCACAATTTCGATTCACCTGCGAGCCTCGCGCGCGGGGGGGAGGGGTTTTTTTTTACATTCCTCCCGTAAAGCCGCGAGACCCTCGCCTCGTTTGATTTCACGCGGTCGCACCCGCGGGAATATATTAATTCGGCAGTTGTCGCCGCTGTGTTACGCGATCCCTTTGTATTTTTTTCAATTGCACCTGAAGCTCGAACGTACCCTTTTACATTTGTTTACCTGATATGTACGGAGCTCGGTATTTCGACTTCTTGTCTTCAAAGATACAATTTTACAGCGGATTCAAGCGAAGAGACGCAGACACAAGCCATATTTCTTGAATCACTTCGACTTAAGTATAGATACGAGATACACTGAATTATTTTTCCGTAGGAAGATGCGGATAGTATCTGCACTTGTAACTATATATCTTTCCAAAAGGAGATACCAAGCTCTACGCGTGCACTTACATACTTTTAGATACATACGTAACGTAACGCGATGATGTATGGATTTTCATGTTTTGCAGCCTTCGTTCAGGATGACAACGACGTTCAGTATCTTTTGGATAATATGCCAATATCTATCCACAAGGTTAGTAAACTCGTAGCGTGCCACACAGTTATCATACGTCCAATGTAAATTGCTGAAAATGTTTACGCGAGAGGAACACTCAACGCGAAGATGCTTGTGTTGTAAATAGCTTTGTACTTGTCCGTTTGCGATGGACAGTAAAGAAACGAGATTGTAAATCTGACGTTCCTCGAACAGTTCAGTGTTTTTTTTTTTGACACGACGTGACTTGTACGGCGATGATGCTACATTGGAATTTCTGTTTTGTAGGATTTTGCTAATACAGTACACGGGGCTGGGTAAGCATAATACTCATTAAGATGACGGTGAGTGGAAGTAGGAAAGGTATCCGTTACAATCTTTCTCTCTGATACTCGTCTTAGAGCTGCACCGGGTGTATCCTGCGTATGTACCGTGACGAAAGCACCACGCGAGCTTGGTCGCATCGGCATAGACGGGAACTTCGCAGGCACATCCCTCGCTTACGCCTAGCTCCACGTTTTATTCGCGACCGTCCAAGTTATCTCTTGTTGTCACACTTTTGCTTGATTTATGAATCACAAGATTCGTTAAGCTCGGGTGATTTGCAAGATCGTTAGCGAACCGAAGATAAGATAATTCGGGCCTCTCCATGTCGCACGTTACACAAAACGGAAAGCGGCAGAAAATATTTGGATACTTGACTTACAATTAGATAATACTCTTGTCAAGATATATACGTTACGTCACGCGGACGCAAGATATACAAACGTCACGCGTAATGAAAAAGTAAACACATCCACGCGTATTAAAAAAAGTAAACGCATGTTCCTCGAGGGAATTGTAATTATTATGTAGGATACTCTGTTTCAATTGCGTTTAATTGAGAAGTCGACGCGTTTAAGCTGGCGCGTCATTCAAAATCATCTGCTGAATAATCACCTCATTATTCTAACAAGAGAAGCTGGGATTCTAAACATCGCTTCACTAACAACGTTACCAAACCAGATTTATACTTAAAACTAATTTTACTTATACCTTTCCTATTTTCAATTTCCACTATTGGAACTACCGCGCCGGAAGTGTACCGAACAATTGTTAAACAGCACCGTTATGTTTTTAAGGGATGCTGCATCGGACGAAGATAAAATGGAAGATTCATTCTCTCACATCTCTTTCGAGCCAAGTATCTTGGACTTCAAAGAAAGGTATCGTTTAATGTAGTACCTCGATTCGATGGCCATAGAGTGTAAACTATAACAGTGTAATCTTTTAGACAACTTGGTATTCCTCACCAAGAAACTGTGATTATGTTTAACAAAGATCACAATAAAACTATACATCTTTCATCGATATCGGGAAATACACGTCATTTCCATTCATCGTTTTTTCAAAACAAAGTAAGTTATCGAATGACGTAACGGTAATCTCCAGGCAAATATTGATAATTTTACACGCAGATATAGCTAATTGATTTATTATCTTTAAATATTTAATATGTTTATGTATCTGAAAAATCGTGCGAGTATTTAATATTATCTTTTTTTTTGTAACAGGTAATTCCACCGCTGGGGAACACAACATTTAATGTCGTGTTCCTTGGTCGAGACGAAGGTGACATTGATACACACCTTTTTATACATACATCAGATGGGACACTAAAGTATCAGGTAACGAAGGATCTATCGCAGTTGTAGTATTAATAATAAATATATATATATACATATGTGCGTCTGCAGTAAAGTATCTCTTAATCCGCAGGTCAAAGGGATTAGTGTCAGTAGTCCTTATAGACTCAGACCTGTAGTTGATGTCAAGTTACCATTAAATGCATCTTTTACACCTCTTATATATATGCACAATCCACATCCAGAAGCTTTACAAGTATGTAAATGCCGACTACATGGATAATGCTAAGAATATTATTTATATACTTACATGAATTATGTAAGTATATTAGTCACGTTATATAATTAACGATTTTTCTCTGTTGCATAAACAAAGGTGATGGAAGTATATAGTAGTGGCGGGGAATTTCAATTAGAATTGCCATCGGGCGAGCCGGAAGGCACCCGTGAACTGTGGGAAATTTTACCTTATCAAACAAAGCCTATCATCAGACTAACTTTTAATGCTTACGCAGAAAAGAATCATACAGCATACGTTAGGTGGGTGTATGAAATATAGAGTAGGCTGTATTTGTATGAAATATTATGTATATTTTTGTACGTACAATTTGGGATGTGTTGCAGATTTAAAGTGAATAATACTGCTGAGGTCCTTGTGGTAGCAGTTGAAGTAGAAGTCAAAAGTGGAGCTGGTCTTCATTGGGGTGGAAGTTCCGGAATAATTAATTTAGGCATGGGTGGCTCGTTGCAGCCACCTATTCGCCACCCTATTGCTTTGAAAAATTCCGCGAAAAAAGCAATTAAAGTTGTGGTAAGTTGTATACATGCGAAAATTCTTGAAATTTACTCGGGCGTGGAATCGATTTAGAGGAGAAAGTCAACTTTTATCATTTCCAAGATATTGTACTGAGCAAACAAAATGTTTCTCGTAGAATATTATAAATACACCTGTATCAAAAGCATTGAAACTGCATTTTGAGCCAGCAATAATTCCAGGAGAGACAGATATACCAATCGCCATTGGAATGCTGGTTTACGATTGTAAGATGCAACACATTGCCTACTGTAGAAAAATGTCTTGCGCTAATATTTGAAATAATTCCACGTTGATTTTCTTAGGGAAAACCGGTTTGGACTTGCAACACTTTAAAGGCAAATTAATAATAAAAGCAATAGGTCCGGGTGGTTCTAGTCAGAAATTAGCAATTCCCTGGGTAGCTCAAGTGCTGCAGGGTGGATTAGAAGTAAACACATCGATTACTCATTATTGTTCTCCGCAATCCAATCAAGCCCGGAACTTTAGCGTGGTGAATAAATTTAAATTACCATTAGCTATAACGAATGTCACGATGTGTTCGAACGCGAAATCGCTTTTTACGGTAAGAAGTATTTCTTTTAACGGACATTTAACGTATTATAACTTTTTCTTTTTCTTTTTATTTCTCAACCATTTCTCAATTGCCTTTTAAAATAAGAGGGAAATTTTGTGTAATTCTAGATAAAAGATTTTACTCCTAGAGTAATAAAACCTGAACAAAAGGTCAATATATTTTCTTTACAACTTGCCAAAGAAAGGAAGGGTGATAACGTGAAGATGGAGTCGTCGATATTGATACATTCGAACGTATCAGTGACCGAGGTTCCAGTGTTGAGTTACGACGGCAAACTGAAAAAAGTCGTGCCGGGCGAGAAGGAAGACGATATGGGAACAATGAATTTTGGTACTGTGGGAAGCGGTACCGAGAAT